AAATGTCACTTCCATATATAATGGATGAAAGTTTGAAGATGAAATTGAATTCCTGGTGTAAATAAAGGTAGCGAGGGAACGACTGAGGGAAAAATGGTAGCAATCTTTAACATCAATCGATGTGCGTTGTGTCAGTCAATTTGCATTCAATTCGAGTTTATTCCATTGTGAGTTAGAGCTCGTGTTCTATCTATAGGAGACCATATAACTGTGCGAAGTGTGTTATTTCTATATAGAAATCACGTTCGTTCGCAATGAATATTTCAGGATTCGTTCGATACAAAAGTATAGAAAGAGAAAAGGCGCGAAAAAAAAAACTATGAGAAGAAGTAGAAGAAGCGAAAAAATAAGATAAAATAAGTGAGGGAGCTGTAAGAAACTCATGTACGGTGTCGGCTTATATATATATAGGTGTACGTATAAAAAGAAATAGATTTCCCAGTTGACCGCATTCTATACTACCTACGTAGTATACAAGCATACAGAGAAACGAAACAAATATCTTACAAAACGGACCGAAGGGAAAAAATAATGGACACTAAAATATATACGTGTAGAAGCCGGATGAAAGGGGGCCTCGTTTCGTGTATCATAAAGATGTACATATATATATATACACCCCTTCCATTCCTTTATCCCGTCGGCCGTTAAAGGATGAGAGATCAATCTTATCTCCATCCTAATTTCCGCCCGATATCAATCGACCGATATATTACATTGCGCTTTCAACAAAAGCCTACATTTGTTATTACGAAAACGAACTACTCGCAAACCTGACATGATAAATAATTACTACAGCTACAAAGAAAAGGGTGCGCTTAATCTTGCTGACTTTACATTGAAGATAGTTTGCAAACGAGCTTTTCGAATTCTATCGAAAGGAAATGATTCAGGTTTTGATTAAACATCAAGTACATATTATGGCTTTACATCAAGCCTATCTAATCAATAGATATAATTCTTATACGATCAAACACGATTAATGCATAAATCACAAGATTTTGATTTATGCATATACTCTAACTTCAAACTTAGATAGTAATAATATTTGAATTATTATTATTAATTGATTGGAAAGGAACAAAAGTCGAAACAAAAATAATCTTATTCTCTTTATAACTAACAAACAGTCAAAAAAGAAGCCTTAAATTGTATAATTATCTGTCTTTTATTGTATAAATTAAAATCTAAAGTTTACTAATTGATGGAATGTTTAATCCGCGTTGAAAATCAACATCGAATTACGTAATTATGGATTAACGGAACTGTGTAATCGCATTAGCACATATAAATTTGTGAATCGTTGCTGTCCATGGCAACCAGCATTAATTGGAATAGTTTTCGTAAGTGCAATAACAAATAAATTATATTGCGTCGCCTAATATGAATAGCTGATTACGGCCCTGCATAAACATGTCCCCTGTACAATGCAAATAGGATTACCGTTCCGTCGGATTATGCACTCCGATTAAACACTAATTAACTCATCAATTCGCTTGATTAATGCTCTCAACCTGTTCTATTCTTTTTGTTCGCCACGCCGCAGAAACGATCAGCACAAGGTGTTCCGTTGCTGGGCAGTCGTCGAGTGGTTCGAGGGATGGAAAAGGGCCGTGATTTATGGTCCCTTGGGTGGACTGCCCATCGTTTTCCCGAACAGACTTTGGCTGTCCTACGTCGCTGGAGGACAACTCATAGCTTTGGCCATCTTCCACCTGACGCTCTCCTTCAAGGACATCAAGAGACGACGCAGGAAGGACCGTCTGCTCCATCCCGACATAGACAGCTACGAGAGGTGAGCAAACAATATACGTAAACCCTCATCATATTTACCTTTCGCCTTGTGCAGCAGCCGGTTCGAGGAAGTGACAGAGGTATTGGACGATGGCCTTCCGGAGCCTATGCCTGGCAGCAGTCATTCCTTATCGGATAGTTTAGCTGAGCAGGATGCGATCCTCGAGATATGACCTGAGCGTCCGGATCTGTTCAGGCACATCGTCGATTCAGGACATTGGAGTGAAATTGATAGTGACGATCCAAACCATTAATTTTCTCGACGCTTCTTTAAAAATTCCTTCCCCCCCATCCCAAAACACTTATAAATTCCTTAATAAAATGAAAGACTGAAATCACCAACAAGTATTACAAATTTATCCTTCCCCCCCGTTTCTCAAGACAACAACAACCAATTCAAATTCCTCTTCGCCAATGATGTAATATTTTGAGAAAAGCGCATCCACTCCGTCCAATATAAACTTAAACACACAAAAGGATTTCGTTTCAGCTGTCGCCGTCAACGAAGGAAGCTCACTTAAACTGTGTACTTTATATTGGATTCCCCTTACTTTGTATAGTGTACATAGAGAATGGATTTAAGAGAATGAAATGAAAACGAAACTTAATTAATACGCTGTGACAAAGAAGAAGACGAGAGGATAAAAGAAAAAGTAAAATTGAAAAAAAAAATGAAAAAAGTAATATTATGAAATATTCACAAAATGTGACCAAATCTCCTTCATTGGTAGTCGCACTCGTAAATTGTACATAAATAGCTTTATATAATAAACACGATCAATTTAATTTAATTAAATTTAAAACTAAAAAAAAGAGAGAGGATGAAGCAAATCAAATGGAGCTTGTAAAATGTTAAGTGCCAATCTTGAGAGGACTCGAGTATCGAAATGAATTAGGATTTCAAGATTTGCTCTTAACCTAAAGTTGTATAACATGAATAATATAAATAATTAAATGTGCCAAAATGAAAAAGTAAACAATTAATTATTAATTACGTAAGCAAACAATGGTATTATATTACAAGTGGTACAAGATTAGATTATTATTGTTAAATGTTGTTTAATTCGGTCTGTTTAGTTTTATTTTATTGTTTAATTGTGGTCAACTTCCTTTACGATAATGTTTTTTTTATATAAATATATATAAAGAAGAAATAAATGTTTTAAGAATTAGTTTTAGTTTATTTCCATTCCTTCCATCCCAAACCTTTATAAAATTTAAAAAGTATTAAATTAAATCTATAGTAATAAGTAAGTTTTTGCAAATAAATGCTTAGGTAAAATGCACTAATATTAAATGCAAAGAATACAGAATATAATACTCATTTATGTTAAATCATTTGTATTTTTTAAATTATAAAATATTAAAAATTTGGAAAAGAAAAATTAAGATTTTATAAGATTCTAATGCAGTCAATATAATATATAATATACATAATTGCCTGTACATACACACAAAGAATATAGTCAATATAATTTATCAAAATTAAAACAATTTGGAAACAATTAAGAAAAATTATTTTAATCATATTATTAATTTATTAATCATATTTAATATATAAAATTTGGACCATTCGACTAATTTCATTAATTTTTATAGTTTTTAATTTCAAGATTATATATTTCTAATGGTTTATTCTTAATAGTCCAATGTAAAATTGTATATTTTTGTTTTGTTTTATACAACAATTATAAGTATACAGTGGAATTGTAAGAAAAATGACTCGCTTAACGAGCGACGTTTCGCATAACGAGTTACAATGAGAAGTGAAGTCCCGTATTGTGCGCCTGCTACATCATTTTTAAAACTAGTGTACACACAGTATGTGTATGTTTCACTATACGAGTAAAAATCGAGAAATTTTGGAAAGTATTAAGCGAGGTTCCACTCTATTTTAATATTATTGAAGTAAAATATTCTTTGAAATTTTAATTATTTGCTTTAACTTTAATGGTATGCTATATAACTGAAAGTGCTTATTGAGGTCTACAGAATTATTAGGGAACAAGTAAATGCTTTAATTTAAAAAATTTTAAGACTTTGGAAGGGGGTTGTACATTAGTTAAAGACAAACTAATTAAAACCTTGGAACCACTGAGCTAAAGCAGCGTTTTCCAAACTGTGAGGCGCAGACTAGTCTAAGGGGAGTCGCGAATATTAGTCACAGTGAGCAATTTTCCTAACGACTACTAAAGTTTTATGTATTTTATAAAATGGAGGGGAAGAGGCACCAAATGATTAAATATTTTCTAGAGAAGCGTAGTAACATCAAGTTTGGAAACCAAAAGAATTGGATCAATTTCATCTGGAAATTAAATAAATTGTGATGTTTAACTAAAACAATAGATGTATATTAAATACATTGATCTAGTAAATTTTATTCACTGTAATAAATCATTTGATCAAATTTACTTTTATTAAACTAAAATTGTTAATGCATAGAAGTAATTACACTCAAATACAATCAAAAGTATATTGAAATAATAATAGTATTGTTATGAATATATAAGAAATGGTAGAAATATAATTGCTAAATAAAGTTTAAATTTTTATAGTTGAAAGTCTGCACGAAATTAGTGCCATATTTAAATTAATTAAGCTGGGTATTAGCTAAATCTTGCTGCTGAACTAATTCTTAAGAGAATTGCATTAGTTTTAACATACAAATGTTAGCTTAATTCATTGAGAATGTTAGTCTCTATTTGTTATGTTTTGATTATCATTTATCATTTTGTCCTTATCTAAGCATTAATGTAAATTTAAATTGCGTTCTGTGGAGCAATCAGTTGACTAGTCGATGAATATAGTAATGCATACTTTTAGTGTAAATAAAGTTCTAGAATTTTATAGAATTTAATGAATTTGCATAGCGGGTTGCCGTCACATCTTCTAGAACTTTCAAGAAAACACCTGATAACACCGCTCTTTGGTAAATAATATACACCTTATTATAATTGTGTGTACTTACAAATTACTGAACTAAATTAATTGTGTCGTTTAGTATGGATTATTATGAGGATTGGCCTGAAAACGGTCGAAAAGGCGGTATTTATTGCAATATTATTCCATTAAATCGCTTCTAGAACCTTATCAATTCTTATCAATTGCAATTTTGCCAATCGTTTAATCATAGAATAATATACGATATTTATTTATTTCAATAGTAAAAGTCTCTATTAGATGTCCACATTTGGCAACCGGTGAGGCTTTCGCCTCTTCTTTTCAATTGTTTTTTTTTTGTTCTCTTCAATAAGTTGCGAAATGAGTTTTGCCTTGAAATTAACCTGCAACAAATGTCAAACACAGTACACAAATTCGAATTAACTTTTCAAAATTTTTAGTTCAGTTACGATCTAGTGCATGCCTTTGGCAGAAGAAGTGCGTCCGCCCCGATATTAAGGAACAAGTTTACCGGCTTGCGATCACGAATATCGGGCGAAGAACAATCTATGGATGATTTATTTTTACATGTCAAATAATAAGGATTTATTAACGTATTACACATTTCGAAATGTACGCCTGGGGGTCAACATCAAATGGGGAACTGGGTGTTGGAGGAATTGAAGAGGAGAACATCTACACACCCGTTGAACTCCAATGGTCAGAGGCTGATAAAGTGACCTATGCAGCATGCGGAAGTGGACACACAATATTCATCACGAATGAAGGGAAATTGTACTCATGTGGAAACAATGATTATGGGCAGTTGGGCCATGGGCAGCCTAGAAAACGGCCACGTATGTCCTTGTTTAGTATGTGCCATTAAAATCTAATAGCATTGTTTGCTTTGCTTCTAATCCATTTTATTTTTGTTTTGCTCTTTAATTTATATTCAATACTTTTTAGAGGAAGTCTCTGGTTTAGAGAATTATGAAATTGTGAGTGTTGCATGTGGTTCTTCGCATTCAATGGCTCTGAACCAGTGGGGTGAAGTCTTTTCTTGGGGTTCTGACAGTTATGGACAGCTGGGACACACGTTAGGACAAACACCTCAGATGCACCCAAAAATAATTAAAGCACTCGCAACATTCAATATAGTCCAAATTGCTTGTGGTTACAGACATTCCATAGCTCTGACTAATAGTAAGAATTTATCACACAGGTTTTTAAGAAACCATATGAAAGTATGTGTTCAATAGGTGGCGATATATTGACATGGGGCGCCAATGATTATGGTCAGTTGGGTATTGGCAAGGAGAGCATCAAGGAATGCTATCCAACCATAGTTTCCTCCTTGTCTGGAATTCCAATGAGCTACATAGCATGCGGCGGAAATCATTCTTTTGCTGTAACAAAATCCGGTGCGGTGTTCGGATGGGGAAAGAATTCCAATGGACAATTGGGCTTAAACGATACAGAATCTAAATCGTACCCCTGTCATTTGAGGACCTTAAGACCAATTCGAGTTCAATATATATCGTGCGGCGAAAATTACTCGACATTCCTGACTCTCGATGGTGGTGTTTTCACGTGTGGCGCTGGAATGTATGGTCAGTTGGGCCATGGAACTACCTCGAACGAAATAGTTCCAAGACAAGTATTTTAATCCAGATTTCAATTAAACATATCTACCAATATCTATATTTAGGTTCTTGAATTAATGGGTTCGAAAATATCGCAGTTGCAATGCGGAAGACAACACACATTGGCTTTAGTTCCATCGCGCGATCGCATTTACAGTTTTGGATTGGGCGGCGCGGGTCAATTGGGCGCTAAAAAATCAATAAACTCTTCGACTCCTCAAATAGTTGCGGGTCCTTGGATAGGTACATCTAGGATTAACAGGATCTTTGCTGGAGGCGATCATTGCTTCGCGAAACTATTGAGCGAAGCGTCAACAGAGTCTCCTTATGATTGCCGAGTGTTATCTGCAAATACCCAAATACTGAATGTTAGTGAGGACATTTTGAATAATTGTTTGAGCATCAGCAAGGACGGAATCGTGGACCAAGAAACTTTGACGTACTTGGAAACGGTTTTCAAAAGTCTTTCGTGCATCAATGGTTCATTCCTCTTACCAAATACGGAACATTTCTTTTGCTCCAGTAAGCATCACGGTATTGACTTGGAGAAAGTTGCAAGGACTTTTTCAACTATTGGCAAATTGGAAAATGATACTGTTAAAGAAGTGGTTCGTAAATTGTCGGTATTAATCGTTTTAATTTAAATCAATGATTTATTATTTTAGATTAAGAATTGTATCATGGATGATCTCTTGAAGAAGTTGACACCTTCACCACCAGACGTTGAAGCTTTAAGGGTCTACATCACGTTACCTTTCTATCATGAATTCAATAACCCAAAAGAACATTTAAAATTACACAAACCATTTGCTAGTTCCTTACTTACTTTGAAGGTGCAAGCCACCAGAGTCGTGGAATCTTGGTGGAGCAAATTACCAACGGAATATTACGAGAAATTGGTCTCTATGTTTAAAGACGTAGTTATTTTTATTATAAGAAATCAACGTATTCCACGCACAGAGGCAAGTCATTTAAATCAACATAAAGATACAAATATTTTTTTCAAATACAACTTTTACTTTACATTTCTAATTTAGCTATAGTTTACTATCAAAAAAAAATACTAAAGCTACGGTTTATTTTAGACTGCAACATTAGATAACACTCTTATAAGTATGTTGAATATCTTGGCTCGTTTGAACAAGCTTAATCACACGATGGATGGACAGAAAGTGCCTTACGATACATTTCATATAGTCGATCTGGAAGATTATCTGGATGTTCGTGTAGATTACGTTTCCTGGCTAAACGACAACACCGTAAGTAGTAGCAAATTTGATGACGTGAGTAATATATTCCTCTCTTTTATACAGGAAAAGTTATATCTATGTAATTATCCCTTCTTATTTGATTCTCAAGCTAAGACGGCTTTATTGGAAGCGGACCAAACTATCCAGGTAAAATATAGGATACATTTCAGTAATAATTTAATCCTAAATGGACACAATTTTAGATGTGCAGCGCTATGAACCAGGCCGCTCAACATGCTCTATTTTTAACACTCTTGAGTTCTGATGTTTCTAGAGTACATCAATATTTGATGCTGAACGTGTCGCGCGAACATATCGTCGAAGATGCCTTGCGTGAGTTAGCTAACGTTTCCAGCAATGATCTCAAAAAACCTTTGAAGGTAATCTGATGTTTTAAGTAAAAGTAATTTTATCAATACCAATAATTTTAAGGTCAAATTTTACGGAGAGGAAGCGGAAGACGCGGGCGGCGTTAGAAAGGAATTCTTCATGCTGCTTCTGCGAAACATTCTGGATCCAAAGTATGGAATGTTCAAAGAATACGAAGAGACAAGGAGCATATGGTTCTCGGAAGATTCTTTCGAGGATGAAATGATGTACTTCCTGATTGGCTTGATATGCGGACTCGCCATTTACAATTTTACCATAATTGATATTCCATTCCCATTGGTCCTCTACAAGAAGCTACTGAAAGAGCATGTTAATCTTTCCGACGTCAAATCTCTTTCCCCAACAATCGCCAACTCGCTGCAATCACTATTGGACTACCAAGAAGATGATTTGGAAGAAGTGTTTAGTTTGACATTTGAAATCAGCAGAGACGTATACGGGGTTGTGAGATCTATACCGTTGAAACCTGAAAGCGATACACCTGTGACCCAAAGAAATAAGTAAATGCTCATTAACAATATTTTACTGTACCTAACTTTTCTCAATTTTAGATATGAGTACGTCGAACTATATGTTGATTATCTGTTAAACAAATCAGTTAAAGATCATTACACCGCGTTTTCTAAAGGATTCATGAAAGTCTGCGGTGGAAGGGTTTTAGAACTGTTTCATTCGCACGAATTGATGGCTGTAGTCGTGGGCAACGAAAATTACGATTGGCACGCTTTGGAGGATGCTGCTGATTACAAGAATGGTTATAAATCGTCCGACGAGGTCATCAGATGGTTCTGGGAAGTTTTGCATGACATGTCACTGGAAGACAAGAAGAAATTTTTATTGTTCTTAACCGGAAGTGATCGAATTCCAATCCAAGGAATGAAAGCAATAAAGGTATACTGCTATATTTACTGAATTAATTTTGTTCAAATACTACTTGTTTATTCTTTTTTTTCAGATTATTTTTCAACCAACTAATGATGATAAATGTTTACCAGTTGCCCACACGTGCTTCAATCTGCTAGATTTGCCAAGATACAGGACAAAAGAACGCTTGAAGTATAAATTATTGCAAGCAATACAGCAAACCCAGGGTTTCTCCCTGGTTTGATTCCTATTGTTATAATATAATATATTTTTTAACTTATTTATTCGTATTGTGCTTTCTTACTTGATAACGATTTCTAATTTTAAGTTGATATTACATTTTAATCTCGCTAAAGACCATGTTTCTCTATTTAGAACGTTATTTGCTTTGTTTGTATTTAGTTTTCTATTTGTTCCAAGTTGTTTCTAGTCCGTACAGGATCCTAATAATTGTTTAAAAGAAATATCCAATATTTTTATTATGAGCTGTTGACAATTGAATAGGATTGAAATAAAAGGAGAACATACTTAAGTGCCGTTGTTTTCTCTGCTTCCTCTCCATTTTATTCAACTACTTCCTCTAATATCTAACGTGGTTCAGTTATATATAAAGTGGTTTTAAAAAAAATCTTATTTTATTGATAAAGTTATAAATATACAGAAACATTGTTTATTCTTTTGTTTTACAGAACTAAAATAAATTTCTCTTTCATATATATATATAATTTATTTATACGTTTTTTTTTTCTTGCTTTAAATTTTAATTAATAAGAGAAGGTAATTTGAAATAAAATAAAGATAAAGGGGGCGCAATTTTAAATGTTTGTATTAAAACTACACATGTAATGATATATGTAATTATAAAATTAAGATATAATATATATCTAAATATAATCTTTAAAAATCATAACTAAATTATAATAATCTTGCTCAAGGAAAAAAATTAACATAGAATTAAAAGAAAAGAAAGAAAAAATACATTACCAATCAATTCTTTTTTTTATACATTTCGCCCAGCCCTTTCAAATAAATTACAAATAACAGTACAATTAAATCAATAATTTATTCAAAGGAGACAGAGCGAGCCTTACCAAGTATACATTGAAAAAGTACTATTTATAACAACATTTAGCAATGAAGCATAAAGAAAAATCATATTACTTTTCATATATTTATATACATACATATTAAAAAAAATATGATTGATAATGAAAATTGAAAAGAAAATAGAAATAGTAATCGTTGATATCCCTATACACATTTGTTTATATACAAGTCTTTTCCTTTTTCTTTAATTTTCCGTTTTTTACTTTGCTTCGCAGATTCAGTCAACTTTACTTTTCTTCTTTTCGGATTCCTCCACGTCATCGTCTTTTCGGTCCAAGCTTCGCTTTGGACTTCCACTGCCGGTGTTGGTCACAATTTCAGGTTGAACTGGAATTTCTACAGAATCATCTGTGCTGATAGCGCCCGGCGAATGGATCTTGTCTACACCGAATCCATCGCTAGAGGTAACGGGGATGTCGACATCTTTTTGCTCTAGCTCGAAAGTCGGATCCATATTATCGAAGTCGAACATGTCAGGTGGTGGTTCACTTAACGAGCTGCACATCTGAGTGGACATAGTACTCAAAAGATATTCCTCCTTAACAGGTAATTTAGACTTGTCCTTCTGGATAATCTCATTCGGTAGACTGGAGGCTGCGTCTTCTGGATCCTCGGTCAACAGGGGCATGGAAATTGATCCGGTGAACGGTTTCTCGTCCAACGATGGTAACGAATAACCAAAAGATGGGCTATTCAAGCCTGCCGAGGTCACGGCTACAACGTCTTGTATAGCTAGAGGCAACTCCAAATCCGAACTGGCCATCAAGGCAACCTGCTGCTGCGAAACTGTTTGAGAAATGTTGGGATCCGTTATAGTGATTGGCAAATCCACATTCTTCGGAACCTGCGATAATATATCGGCTTCGATTTTCTTACTATTAGTGCTAGGGATTTCTAACGGACTCATTATGGGTGAATTCATCGTACTTGTTTCAAGAACATTGTTAACGTTCATTGGATAGAGGCCGCTTCCGGGACTCAATTGTGATTGCGTCACTTTAGGTACTAGAGATTGCTGTTCTTGTTGGAAAACGTCGGTATCAGCAAGAGCAGCTGCAAGAATATCCTGATTCTTGGGAGTCTGATTGGCGAATATGGCACTGTTATCGCCACCCAACGAGTCTGGATTCAATGCAAGCAGCATCTGATTTTCTGAGTCATTATTTATTAAAATTTGCTGCCCATCGGCCTGTATCAAAATATTACCTTCCGCGTTTGCTAGTAAATTAGCTAAATCTGCGTTTCCTTCGGTGAGAGATTCTAAGAACTTTTGGGTGGAAGCTGGATCCCCGGTTATTATTAACTGTTGATTCGTATCTCCGTTGTTAATAGAAAGGCCTGGTATTGAGGAATTCTGATCTGCCGATGTTGTTGGAGTAGGTTCAACCACAGGAGGCGGCGGCGTCGGTTCAACCTTGATTTTTTCTATGGGTTCAGGTGCTGGTGCAGGTGATACGATTGTTGTTGTTGGCGTAACAGAAGTTGTCGTTTCGTTTTGATCAATTTGAAGCACCATATTGCTTAAATCTCCTCCGAGATTTGGATCTAACGACATTAAAGCTTCATTATTGAGCGGTGTCAAATTTCCAGTTTCATCCAACGTAACGAGCATGTACGATTGTGGTTGTCCATCTACGGTTTCACTTGGTAAAGCTAAAATCTGGCCTTCGGTAATGGTCGTTTGATTTCCAAGTGCATCTTGGATCACTAATTGATGTGGTGTGCGCTTCGTATCTGTCTCCTGTTTAGCTTGTATCGTCTCTTGCTTCTCTGCTTCTCGAACAACCGATGGTGTTGGTTTCAGGATTTTAGTAGTTTCCATCTTTTTAGTCGGTGAGATTGGAGCCAACGGTGGAATTGTTGTAGTCTTCGTGGAGGCCGAGGTATTCAAGAATACTTGTTTATTTACAGATACTTTGGATTCGGGTTTCTTTCCAGGATATGAAGCACGTTTAAGAGCCACCTGCTTGTAATTTGTTTTAGTTCCAGCAGCTCTATTTATTGCCTCTATTTGTTCAGCTACTTGCTTTTCCAGCAAAGCGTCATCAGTGCCTTGGATTTTCTTCACCGTCTGACCCTGCGGATTTTTTATAATTATGGTCCTCTGTTGTCCTGTGGGGCCTTTAATTTGACTATGAAGCAATAGCTTTTGTCCCAAAATCTTCTTAGGCTCGATCTTAGTTTTTCTAATCTGAGACATTGATGTACCCGGTGTTGTATATAAACCTGTATTGGTGGTGGTTATTTGCCCTTTCGAGTTTATTATCGTTTGTGAAATTATATTCGGCGATTTCGAGCTGTCTTTTTGTACTATACCTTTAATAGTTGTAGGCTTTTTAATTGGCGTTTGATAACCAATTTTCTTTTGTTGCGCTGGCGTCAGGAGTACTCGCGACTGCTGTCCCTGGTTATTAGTTACAATCATTATTTTATTACCTCTGGGTTCGCTGCTGACATTCTGAAGTTTGCTTGTGGGAGAGCTCAGAATCGCTGGACTCTTTTTGATGAATGGACGTTTTCCAACTGTATATTTACTGCCTGTAGGTGTTGAGGACTCCGGTGGAACTATCACGAATTTACCAGGCTTTCCGGCTTGGCTGATAATAGTTGGGCTGTGCTTCAATCCTGACGGTGTGCTTGTTTGATACACTTTCTGCGTTGGCTTAATATGTTTGATGAATGTTTTCCCCGGTGTCAACGATCTAAAGCTTGTCGGCATGGACTTGTTTAAAATTTTAACTTGCGGTTGCGTTTGTGGCACAATTTTCTTGATGGTCTTATTAGGAACTTGAGCTGTATCCTGTACTATGATTTGCATATTTTCAATTGACTCTGGTGTTAATAATTGATCGGTAAGAACTATTGGCATATTATCTATGTCGAAAACGTTGTCATCGGTTTTAGATATAATTGGCTGGATCACTTTTCCTGCAGGTGTTATTATTGTTTGATTAATAATCTTCGGTTTACTTTTAGCAGCCAATAGGGGTTTCTTTATCAATTCTGGTGAATTTTCGATGGCAGCTACTTTAGCAGTTTTTTTAATTATGTAAGCATCAATATCCTCGTAGTCTTCAAATGATCTCTTAGATGTAATCTTTTGGACTGATACTGAAGATGATTCGGTGCTGGCAGGTTTAATTATTTTTTCCGATAATATTGTTGCTTTGTTCGATTTGCTACCAGATGGAAGAGACGTTCGTACAACCAACTTAGTTTTTGGTTTGGCAGGAGTAATATCGAATTTTGGATTTGGTATTTTCGGTATTGGAGACTTAACCTTCTCTTGAGACTCGATGTTAACGTCGGCAAGGATTTCCATCAGTTTCGATTGAGATACACCTTTTGATTTGTTCGGGTCTGAATCAGATTTCTTAATTGGATCACTGAAACCCAAAGAACCTCCAACGATATCTTCCATCTGTTTCTCAATATCCATTTCGCTGCTTGGCGGAGGAGCACGAATCTCTTCTGTTTCCGTGAAATCCACAATTGTAGTTGCTTTAATGGTACCTTCTTCGATGATTGGAATATTAGCGATTTCCACTTGTCCATCTCCTAAATCGCTTGCTGATACAACAGTCAAATTCTTCTCAATACTCAATTCTTTCTCATCAGGAACCAACTCGGATAGCTGAGGCAATAATGGAGTAACTATAGGTAAAATATTCTCGGTGCGGTCCAACACTTCTTCAATGATATTTTTAACATCAAATTCGATAGTTTCATCAACATTCTTCTTTTCGCACTGAAGTTCATCTATTTTCTTTTCCTCTTCTACAATGCTTGTCGCCTCGATAGCCGCCTCCACGTTCTTATCGGTGCTAACATCATGAGTCTGTAAAGACAACCTCCTCAAACTTTTATCAGTACTACTCTCACGACTTCTTTTTGGAGGCAATATTCCAACAATATCATTAAATTCTCGACTTTTAACATCCTCACTGCGCGTTCTCTGACGACCAGTAGGTTTTTTATTTTCTTGCAATTTAGTCATTAATTGATTTTTTAATTTGGATACTTCAACACTCTTCGGAATTAGGGAACACTTACTTTCCGATTCAATTATTGGATCCAATCCGTGCGCATCCGACACAGTCTCAATTTTTTTCGGACTCTTTGCTTTCAATGCACTTTTTCCTTTTAATTTACTGGAGCCACAAATTGTTTCAAACAATTGTTCAACATTTAAATCACTTGTGACCCTTTTGGATTTTTTGATTGATGACAATTCTTCGGGTTTTTTGTCGATTTTGCATGCGTCTGAGGGTTCTTCTATTTTTTCCACATCTTCTTTCTTATCAAGTGTAGTCTCCAAAAACTCTTTGATTTCATCTATTTCGACTTTGTTTTCTGGAATCTCCAGAATTATTTCTTTTTCTTCTGTTTTTGTAGATTCTTCTTTGTTTTCAAATATACCATCAACAGGCAACGTGATTTGATCAACATTTTCAATAATTTCCACATTTTGTACAATTAAATTTTGTTCCTTGTTTTCGGTAATTGTTGATGGAACAGCTAAATCTTCTTTTAGCATATCTAAATTTATATATGATTCTTCTATATCAGTTTCCAGTTTATTTTCAGGATTTTCGCTTTCAATATTTTCAACAATATCGATATCAGTATAATCAACTGCAACATTTTCTTGAACCTTCAATTCGTTTGATACTTCAGGTTCCGGTTTTTTAATAGAATTATCTAATTGGATTGTTTCAGCTTCTATTTCCTTGGATTCCTCTTTTTCGACATGAGGTACCACCTTATCTATTTCATTTAATTCAATCTTATTTTCTTCAGTTGATCTCGGAGTTTCGTCTTGTTGTTCGCGAATTTCTTGCTTTGATTCAACCTTCTCATCATTGCATACAATTTGTTCATCAGGTATATTGTATGATTTTAAATTTATATCGAAGTTCTGTCCTTCTAACCACTCAAAGCTGACACCATCTTTTTTCTCATTTTTTGATTCATCTTTAACATCTTGGTTTTTCAATGGCTCAATTGCAGGCGAATCTTCCACCTTCTCTGTTTGCTGCTCTTTTTTCGAATTTGAAGCCTGCAAATCTGAGGACTTAAACATTTCTTCTATTGCACCATACTTCTTAGCACGTTGGTCACTAAGTCGAGAACTCGTCCTATCTCTTCTTTTTTCACGTTTGTTCAATTTTACACTCACATGTCTAAGTTCAATGTCTTCCTTCTCTACAATATTTACATTTGATTTTTCTACAATGTTTTCAACAACTGATGTAGATTCTTCTTGAGCCAATGGTTGACTAATAACTTTAATATCTTTAATTGGAGCTTCTTTTTTCTCAATTAATTCCTCAATTTCTTTAGGTAGCACCGTAGGAAGTTCAACCATTGGTATTTCAGCTTCTTTAACATCAACACAAGACATACTTACTTCCTCTGAACCTGTTTGTAGAGTTGATGTAACTTCAGTATTATCTTCAACTACTGGGACTTGTAATTTAGCAATGTCCAAGTCAGGAGAATCTTTAATATCTTGCTCAACTAACACTTTTTCACTATTCTCTAAATTATCACATTTAACATCCACCTCAGGCATCTGTACGTCTTTGGTTTCAGTTTTCTTGCTTCTTAAATTACGTTTTAATATTTCTGATTTTTCAGAGGAATCTTCTTTAGGATCCAATTTTTTAACTATTTTGCTATGATCTTCAACCTTCTTTTTATCCTCTACCGCGTCTTTAATAATAGATTGATTTGTTACATCTCTTTTCTTAATAGCACCAATGATAACTTTTAATGCAGCCTCATCGACCAACTGCTTTTTAACACCACTTCGCATACTTCTCGATGGTTTAGCAACTTCGTCTTTGCTTTCTTTTGGTGTTTCTAAAGCGTCAACATCTTTTAAAACATCCAACTTACTTGTCTTCTTGCGTTTACTTGGAGTGAAATCAATATTTTCAACAACATCTTCTGGATCCTTCTGATCATTTTTAGAAGCGCGTGCCAATTTCTTGATTTGTTTTGTCTCGTTTAAGATTTCTTCCTTTTCTGGTTCTTCTTCTTTGTCTCTTTTTTCCTTTTCTGGTTCTCGAACGGTTTCACTTATTTTGGATTTACTTTTCTCAGTATCTTCTTTGATTGTTTTCTCAATAGCATCTGTCTCTACTTTACTAACTTTCTTTACTTTCACATCGGCGCCTTTAGAAAGGCGATTGCTCTTTCCTGCTTTATTAGGAAGATCATCTTGCAGATCATGTTTGGCGGATTCAATTTTCGAAGATTTTTTCGACTTTTCTACTTCCGGTTTATCTTTAGTTTGAGACTCTGAATGTTTTTTTCGCCTCTTTGATTCATTGAATACAGTATCTGCAGATTCCAAAGCAGCTTCAAAGTCTAACTTTTTCACATTTTTAGCTTCTTCCTTTTTAGGTTTTGCTTCTTCTTCTGCGTCTATATTTTTAATATCTTTCAAACCAGAACTTTTCTCTTTCACCTCCTCTCGTTTACCTTTAATTTCTTCCTCAAACACGGTTTTCACTTTCTTTTTACCGGATTTACCTTCCATTTTAGCTTTCTGATTTGCACCATTCTTGTCTTCCTTTGCTTTTTCTTCTAAAATGATTTTACTCTCCGATTCTTGCTTAGGAGGCTCTTCTATTTCTTCCACAACTTTATCCTCGACATCAGACTCCTTAGACGCCTCCCTTGTAAGTTTACTTTGCCTTTTCTCTCTCAGCGATCTTCTACCGTGAAACTTAGAATCTTCTTCTTTCGCAATTACCTTTTCAGGCTTTTGTTCTTTTACTTTGACATCTTCCTTCTTTTCCTCAAGAACTTCTGTAACTTTAATGCTAACGTCTTTAGAATCCTTGGATTTCTTATCACGTCGTAGCTCTCTGGTTGGCGTTCTGGAATCCTTTTTGTTATCCTCCAATACATCAGATTTTAATTTAAGGTCCTTTTTAGAACTGCGCGTTTCTTTCTTTGAATCCATTTTATCAATCTTCTTGTCAATAGGAGAAGCACAGACCATATCAACTTCCATTGAAGAAGAAGATGAGGCACCAATTTGTTCATCTTTCAGAAGCGTTTCCGTTTCGGTAACAATACCGGTATTTAGAAGACTGCATTGAAAATCTTCGAAAGATTTATTAGACAAAACAATACTCTTGCAAGGTGTATCTTCTACGACTGGATCAATTTTCGATTTTTTATTTCCATTTTCCTTTTCCATTGTCTCCTCAAAAGATTTCACAAAACGTTTTTTGGGATTTGTAAGCTTCGTAGCAGAAGCAGGCGGCGATTCCGTCTTATCGGGAAATTTAATTGTCTTGCTGTTGTGAAAATTTTGTTCACATTTCAATGTTGCAGGCATCTCAGGTAATTCCGGTAAAGTTGTAGTTTCCATCAATTCCTTAAATGAACTCGTGTCAGGTTCTGGTGTTGTTTTTTCGGTAAGAGTCTCGGAATTGCTTTGATTATCGATTGTACGATTTGCGTCATCCTCTGCAGTTGGCAAATTCGGATCTTCCGTTGGTTCTGCAGACTTTCTTTTGTCGAGATTTACAGTCGTTTCGGAATCAACCTTTTCCTGTGTTTCCTTGAAATCACAACTTGATTTATCTACTTCCTCAGATGTAGACTCTTTAACTTCCGTTGATTTATCATCGACTGGTTTATCTTCGCTTATTGTTTTATCATCACTAACCTTTTCTTCTTCAACAGCTGCAGAAAATGCATCTTCATTTGTAGCAGCCTTATCTTCAGTTGCTTTGTCTTCAACTTTAGTTGCACTTTCATCTACCTTTTCCTCGGTTCCTTCCTCCTCCTCGTCATCCCACTCAGCTAATAAGTCGACACGAATATCAGTTTTCTTTTCTTCTTTAGCTTTTGAATCAACCTTCGGCTTTTTGCCGCTCTTTTTTCCTTTCAGCGTAACCTTCTTTCTCTTAACCTTAGGTTGATCCTCGTCCTCTTCATCCTCATGAGAGGAAAAGTCGTCTTCAGTTATTGACAGACCTTGTTCAATTCTTGCAATGTCCTCATCTATGCTTGAAGTGTTAGAGTGTGGAATTCTAAATGGACCTCTCTTGTTGACTTTCTTGATTGGCGTACGTTTTGCTTTTTTTCCCATGCCCGGAGAAGATATGTGCGTTTTATTATGTATCATAATAACACCTAAGCGGTTTGAAGAGAATCCACATGTTTGACATGTATAAGTATTATTATCAACTTGCTCTTGAACTTTATCAGGTGATTGAATAAGCATACGAACTTGATGATCATCATGACCCACAAATCTGGGATGAGTTACAAATGGCTCAGCTGCTTTCTTCCTACCAGGTGAACCCTTACCACTCAACCTTTTTAACTTATCTTTAGGTTTCTTGTTTGGAGATGGAAATATACCTTCATAACTTTCCTTGGGCTTTGGCGGGCCATACTTAGGGTCACTTAAAATATTCTCATTACCATGAGTCATCTTTTCAGCAACTATGATATCAGAAGAAAATTTTTTCATGAATGGATTCTTCGCTCTTTGTAAATCTACAAAAAATATAATTAATAAATATATATATATTTCTTAAGAATTTTTATTATATACCCATGCCCTTCTTGATAAATTCATCTTTCCTCAAGCAATTGTATGAAAATATGTGATTAGTATTTTTTATATATTCACTAAAACAATAAAAGATTTTGCATATTTTATTATTGGTCAAAGATTATTTTACTTATTTCTTTTCTGTGTACTTACTAGCTGTCTTCTTGAAAGAATGTGACAATTGCCAAGGGCATCTTCTTGAACTGCAGCTCATCTCGAACGTTTTCTGGTAACTTGTCATATTCAACAACTTCCCCTGGCCACCAACAGAACCGTAGCTTCACCCAGACTATATCTCCATGCGTGTATTGCACTGGTTCTGGCTCCGACATAATGCTCTCATATGTGTAAAACTATCTAAAATTCAAAACGTTTGGTGGTCAGCATCAACAGAGCATATTTATTTACAGCTTATCAACAATTCCGCCAACATAGAGAAAAATTCTGTCCAGAGAGATTTTTACCAGGGAAAATTGGCATTCTGCACCAAACAATTAAACACAGAAGCCGAATTGCGGGCGCTATTTCTATGGTAGCAAAGCAATAACCAACAAAGGAAAAAGTAAACAAGAGATTCGAACGACGGACAGTAGCAAATGCTGCTTCGAAATTGTGTTGGGCGTTGTGACAAATGCTATCATCCGCTCTTTCAGCTCAAAAATGCGAAAATTCATATTAGTTTTGTATTTAGGAATTTTGGTAGAAACGACGAGTCGGGAAAATGTATTGCCTGCATCGAAGCTCCGTTGCAGCGGTTGCAAGTAACGAAAATAGCTTTGAGTGAGCACAAAAACATTGGGGGAGGCAGCAATAACCCCGCGCTTTTCGTAAATCGTGCGAAAGAGCTACAATCAATACTCGGAAAAGTCCAATTCGCGTGGAAAACAAAAATAATCGTACTCACCAAGACACTTTTTTATTTAAACCAAAATAATTGTCAATAAATGCGTAACAATTTCACTTGTCACAAACGTACATCTTGTTTTTCACCCATAATGCAACGCGACTTTGGCGTCAGCAATGTTACCAACGTGAGCACATAGCTTATGTCTATGCTATTATGCCGCCATAACCTCAAAATTGCGTCAACTTTTCAGAATCCATGGCGCATTTCGCAGATAACGGGAGTTATCACTATCGATTCCGCCTTATGCATATGCTCACTAACATTCGCAGGTTGTCAGGAGTAATTAAAAACGACGGTCACCTGAATATAACATTACGCCCGGAATGCGGGTTATGCAACTGACCGAACAGTATCTGCATTTGTTTAACACTCGTAATTATGCAACGGGATTGATTGTCAGATTGCACGCAATCCAGCACATTTCTGCGACAATAATATGCATATATTCAATTTAATTTTATTCATTGTTCTTTATTTTTTTCTTAGTTTTGTAGGTAGTAACTAGTTCAATTGTAACTAATTGATTCTAGATATGCACTTCCTCAAAACGATTATATCGAAACTGTAAACCATCCATTTCAAGGAAATTTCATGCTGCTATTTTACTTTTCGTGGGAACATCTTGAAAACATGTGATTTCTAAGCTATAAATAGTATATATCAGGGCTATCAACCTTTTTGTAAATGCAACAAACTTATAAGTAATTAAATGTTTGTATTTGAAAAATGAATTCATTAAAAAAATACGTAATTTGGGATTTTTTGTATTGTCTAACATATGTTTGAAAATATACTAATAGTAAAGCATAATAATAAACAAAAATAAATGCATATTTTGATTCTAATGTAAATTCTCAATATACAATATAAAATATACAATAACTAATATAAATAATATCAATGACACAAACATTTCAGAGTGTTTTGTTATATTAATATTTGTATTCTATTATACTATAACAGTCTCAATAATTACTTGACACGTCAAATACTAGACAAGTATACATTGCCTCTTATTCCATATTGAGTTAAAGGTACAATGAGCAATGGGTACTTTAAGTTAACTTAAGCAGACCAGACGTCCCGTTTTCGGGATTTGTCCCTATTCTTGGTTACATGTCCCAGTGTCCCGAAATGTATTTTTTTTAACCTTTGTATATAAAGTAATAAGAGTTAAATCGGTCTGGTCAACAATCATTTCTCTCAATTTCCTAGAAAGTTATGATTAAATATAAATAATATGATTTAATGTCCAAATGAAGTTGTTATTTTCTTCATATATGTTTTTACTGAAATACTTTCCTTTCAAATGAAAATAATTATACTACTGTATTTTGAAAATTTTCATTGTCCAGATAATGATTACACATTTTAATTGGTATTAAGTAATTATCACAAATAATTACTAAAATTCGATTTGAATTTAATCTGATAATTATTTTTTCAATTACACGACATCTCATTGATTAAGTAATTCAAAGGGACAAGAAGTTAAAATACGAAATTTCATAAGCATTTTTATATAGAGATTATTATTTTTATTCTGATTTAAATCATTTGGAAATTATTGCTGATGCAGTCTAATTAGACTGGCGCATTTCCAACATCTAATGAGATCAAAAACACATATTCAAGTATTTTTTTGGCACTAAATCAATTGGATGCTGCGACCATATTACATACTTAATATTTGTTAAAAAAAAAACAAGTTTATGATGATCTGAATTTTAACCAATTTTGAGCGTTATTTTTGAAGACGCTATTTATTACAGCATAAATTTAAACAACTCAATAATTTTCATTTTAATTTATTTTCAAACTTTTGCTATTAATTTGATACTGTTTATAAGCACACATTGAAAAAATCACAAAATATGATTGAGGTCACTCTGTACCAATTTCAATATTTCTTTACGACCTTATTATTTAACAAAAACATGATCACGTTTAAGAGGTTGATATCATGAATTTATTGGTTCTTGCAATAATTTTAAATACAGAAATTGTAGCAAGTTTGTTTAGTTAAAGTGTATATTTATTTATAAATAAATACATTGACAAATAAACAAATAATAGAAAATGATGAGAGTAAGTTAATATATTTGTAGTAACTTTCTATATAAACAAAAAATATTGAAACAATCTAATAATTAAGTGACTTAAAATGTATAGTTTAAATTATTTTTTGATATTACCTTTTAATATAAATGCCCTTCGTGCATGTATTTGTATGTATACAATACATTTTGGATTGGTGGGAGTAAAGATACAGAAAATACAGTTTCAAAGTTTATATTGAAATAAATTAATATTGTTTAAAAAATAGAAAAATACGAATTGAAGATCGATTTTAAAACATTGCATTATTTTGTCGTGAATACGATATATAAAAATATTTATTTACTTTTTCAAATAATAATTGAACTAAAATTGAAAATTAGCTAAATCACATCGAACATCAGCTGGATGGGGTGACTAAAGAGGATGAAAAGATTTGCTTCAGAATTTGCGGCAGTTTGCTCAAATCTGTACAAACAAATGCCCTTCCAGCAGGTAGAAATTGCGTCAATCTGAAAATAAGATAGTTTTTAAATAGTCATTAATTTATTCGTTAAGTACCTTTCGGCTTGATCACCCAAGCCCCCAATGAACACAGCGTATGCACTAACATCTGGTTGTGCGGTTAAAGCTTTCCCTAATTTAGCTGGAGATATACCATAACGAGCTAAATTTGCGTCAGACAAAACCACGACAATGGATTCATCGTTATCGGCGCAAGAAAGTGAATTGACTGCGTGCTCTGTAGCTTCTAAAGTATGATCACCAGACCAACAGTATTGAGAATGTGCATGCATTACCTAAAAATTTGATAATTAATATCTGAGACTGAATATTTATTTAACGTTATTTACTCTGACGATGTTCAATCGTTCCATGTTGTTCTTTGGAGGTTCACCCTTTTTCACGAACTCAATTCGATCGGTTTCTCCCGAATGTCCGATAATATCGTACGTTATTTTGTCTTCAAAACCTTCAAAGGCTTCCATTACCAAAACGACTGCTTCCAACTCTCTCTCCAATCGTCCATCGTATGAGTTAAATCTGTACATACTACCTGATACATCCACTACTAAACGGAACATTTTAGGTTTTATTTGTGGTGTTCCCAATTCAGGTTCTTGTTCTGATCTCCTTCTATAAATAGTCTTCTCACCCAATATTCCTAAATAAAATAAAACAATTATACAACTCTTCTGTATATGTAAATATAATATTACCATCAATTAATTTAACATCATCCAATTCTCCGGATGTTTGATGCCTATTCCAATGTCTCTCCTTATTTTTGGCTTGCAAAGTGCTCAAAACGACCCTTAATGATTGCACTTGCTTCGAGACCGATTTGGAAAATTGGTTGTATAACGACGCGTCGTACCCGCTCATTCCAATTTCCTTCAATTTAGCTTCGAATGCTTGCTTGCCCATTTCCCTAGCCGCTCGTTGGATGTGTTCAGGCACTGCGGCCTTCTCTTCATCTGATAACTTTAATATAATTACAGTTTGAGCATTGATTTAATGTTGAGATTAATTATTACTTGGTGAACGTCGTGGCCTTTATCTAATCTATAAGGACCTCCTTTACCACCTAAACCTGCTGTGTCTCTTCCTCCGGTTCCTCCAGCCCAAGTGTTTCCACCTACGTGCGGCTCGTTCTTCGGATCTTCTTTACCGTGTTTAGGAGCTTTATTATCTAATCCACTGTGTCTACTCTTAGTCACCTGGATGTGTTCTTTAGCTTGCTTTGCTTTGATGTATTCAGTGGTAAAAACGTTGGAATTCGGAAAGCCGAATCTAGTTAAGACTTGACCTACGGTTTCGACCATCTCCGGACTGTAGCGATCGAAATCGAAGACGTTGAAGAGAACGTCTTCCAAATCCGCTTTGGGGAATTGCTAATACATATTACACGAATTATAATATCACATACATTATTATAATAGTTTTTTTTTATGTTATACCTGTAAATGTTTGACGATATTCACTACTTCCCTCGTGGAATACGGATAATTAACTAAACCTTGATCCGCCATAGTCCTAAGTTCCCCAAACACATCCACCAATTTCCTAATTGTTGCTTGAGGTACGTTCGGTCCATACTGTTGCAGCAAATCCACTTCAGACAAAGCTGATGGATTATCGACTGCATGGCTACTGAACAAATCCCCGAGCGCTCCGAAGAAATCGTTACCTAAGAACGGGAATCCGGGTCGATTTGCTAATACAATAATCCTGAAATCAGGATGTGTTGGGATGCAGTTTGGACCGTCATGTCCAGTTTTCACTATGCGCCTTCCATCGCTTAAGATCATTTCGCCTGTTTCAACAAGTGTTTTCAATATGCATGTTACATGAGTCGGTGCTTTATCCGCTTCATCGATGACAAGAACGTGTCCGAATTTGATTGCTTTAACAAGCGGGGAATCTTCGTAAACCAAAAGCCCGTCCTTAACAGTCGGTTGTATGGTTAAAGTTTGTACAGTTGTATCGCGATGCAGCTGGATGTATTCTCTAGGTCTGTTAAGAAGTTGCAAGAATCTATCCACGATTTTGTTTTTGCCTACTCCTTGATTACCAACCAACAATAAATGTTGACCCAACTGGAAATCTTGAAGAAGTCGTTCCATCAAGTGTATATGCTGCGGAACGTCGTAGAACAATATGTTGGGAACTTTCGTTAAAGAGTCAGTTTTGTACAAAGGAATTGATGTTTTTCCAATAGTGACGACGTCGTTGACAACTTCGCATTTTAGTTCGTTTGTTGTTGTAGACATGTTTGGAAGGATATCGACCTTATCCAAAGTTTTCTCTAGAGCTTCTCGAGCCAAACTAGGTAAGAACTTGGCCATAAAAGTTTTCTCTATAGTATCGTAAGCATCATCAGTTGGGAACTTCTGCATTCTCGAAGCAATCCTCAAAAGTTGCCTAGTTGATAAATGTCCTGAAAGGTTTTTCAACGTCGGATCTGGACTGTCGCGCAATACGTGCGCCAAATTAATAATTTGATGCAAAGGCTTTGAAATTGGTCCATACTAAAACCATACGTTCAAATAATAATCAATAAACTTAAAATCAATGAAACTTACTTGAGAAGTAATGATTTTCATTTCCTCTTGCTTACTGAGAGTCCTAGCTTCATGGAATATAAATAAACTAAGTACTTCAGGTGAAAGCCAGTTTGCACCTGAAGTTAAAGTAGGTGGCTCAGCAATAGCAACAATCCTGAAATCGGGATGAATCTTCAATACACCACTGTTAACCATTTCTTGCTCCGTAAGATTAAACTCCTTCATTAACATCTCATAACGTTCATTATTAACCATCCTTTTACCATCGTGCAATTGAATTTCCCTATCGTGCACTAATCTAAAATCAATTAATTAATACACCAAAATTTAATTAGTAGTTATTTACCTATGGAGAACGGAAAGCGTACTAGGATGAATTCGGTGTAAACCATCCAAAACAGCGATTTTTCCTTCTAAAGCAGCGTTGATTAATGGAGAAAATTTCCAAACCGTGTCTCCGTTTTCTAAGGTAGTCCTCTGTTGGATCAACTCCCTAGAGGTCATGTCTTGGTATAAAACAATAGACTCCACTTGTTTTCCAAGGATGTCAGCCATTTTATCAACGAGGATACTCTTTCCGCAACCTCTTGGCCCGATAATACAAAAATCTGCCACAGAATTGCTTTCCAGCATATCTCCAATCAAACGATTCTGATAATCGCCATCAACATAATTCACTTTACCAGGTGGAAGGTTATTAGCTGGAAGTCTTTGCTCACTATCCGGAATAACTTGGAAACTAGCCAAGAGACTCTCAATAGAATTAAATCCGTCTTTTAAGAATATTTTGTAAGGGTACATGCGATAGAGAATGTCGTAAACTGAAACTCGCGGATTTTTTTCCTGAAATAAATGTAAGTTAGGAAGCATAAAACTTGAAAATATTACAATAACTTACCAATAACTTAGCTGCAAATGGTAGATTATCGATTGGAAAGTCTGGTAAACCCAAAGCAGAGCTTTCTTTGCTAATTAAACCAAATGCGGCTGAAAGAAGTTGTTCCAATTTCGCAACGGAAGCTCCAGGAGCTATGGTTTTCAGTTCTTGTAACCATTCCTTAATAATAAAAGATAAAATAATATAAAATTTTATTTTTGTTAATTGCATTTAACATAAATTATTCTAATTATGTAAGGTTATAATAAATGTTTTCAATAATACATATTTCTCAATTTGATTGCAATTAAATTGATAGAGTCGAATTTCCTAATTACATCAATTCCGTGTTATTACGACAAATAGAAACATCGCCTGAAATGCTTATATGCATCATCATCCTCCATTTGATCGTAGTACAAAAGCCGCAAATGCTTTTATTTTTGGTTAGCACGTAATAAATTAGTTTCAGGAATGACATCGTCGCACAATGGTCTTCAACAAGTCTTTGCAACGCCGGAAGTTTTGTCGATTACGTAAAAAACAACTTTATGACATATCCAATAGTTACGCATCGGGGGAGCCGAGCCGCATCCGCGTTTTTCGATTCTTTCCCCACATCGGGAAGCTCTAACGAAAGTTGGTAATTGTGTTTTCTGCTGATGGAGAACGTTGTTTTGCGGAGGGCCTTTGTTGCATGCCCGGAGCCCGTTAAATATTGTGTTACCATTGTTTTCCGAGCCCTAGCCGCGCCAGATCGGGGCGATAACGATATTCAATTTAACTTTTAAAATTGCCACGTCGATTGAATCACTCGACTCGAAAGTTTCGTATACATTTAATTGATATTGCGATAGTCCGTGCAATAGAAAATTGGCTCGAAAAACGTATAATGGAAAACACCAGAATTAGATACACGTTTTATATATATATATAAGTTAGATAAGAGGTAAACTTTTAATAGAAAATCCAGTTACAAAAGTAATAAATGCGATTACTCTGGTTTTTAAATAGTTATTTAAGTTAGTATACTAAAGAATACAATTTTATTAAAAGAAATGCAAAATATTTTTACATTCGATCTTAAATATTATAACAACATGTTAAATAAATAAATAAAAGTATTTTATTTAAATAATTGATATGAACATTTTGAAGATTTTTTGAATTATAATCTTTTACTGAATTAATATGTAAAATGATTATAATATATATTATATAATACTTATCACTTTACAAAAATATTATGTATCAAGATTTATATTTAATTATTATTTTAAAATTTTTGTTAGCCAATTATTATTTTGATAAGATATATATAAATATTTAGTAAATGCAAAATTTTCGGCACATAGTAAATAATTTACTATTTCACTATTAGTTATTTCACTATTAGTATTTACCTTATTATATTAAATTGTAATTATATTATAAATAATTGTACCTACTTCTTCTTCTTCTTTCCCCCTTCTTCATTTGGCTTCCGCATTACGCGCCAATAAGCCAGCCACTGTCTGTACATTCAAAACACAAAAACCAAAATAACTTATTCTTCGGATTTCTTCTTCCGCCCAAATAGCAAATTGTACCTATTTTGTGAGGAAGTTTCAATATGAACAAAAAATTGATTACAAAGTTCATAACTTTATATTTTTAAAGACATTTACGATATTAAGACTAGTAATTTTGTAAAAAAAAGTATTATTGTATAAAATAAATCGTAGTAATAATAACACTTTTAGATGGGGTTTTTTCTGTCTATTGACATACAGGTGATTTCAGTTTGGCTTATATAATTTTAGAGTCCCCACAGTCCAGTGAGTATTGAATTATGTTATATAGCATCAAAAATAGTGTATTTTATTGGTTTTAATTACTTTTTAGCACGTAATATTACACTGTATAATAGCTACAGATTAAAGTACCGATGAATTACGTTGATGAAGTCATTAAAAAATATAGATTACATTTTCATAGTAGTGCTCGTAATTTTAGTTTTGATGAAAATTCACGACTAAATGTAATGTTATATTGTTATTCATAAACATTAATATAAAGAAATACTTAATTATTATGAATGATTTGATTTATAAATATAATAAAACTATAATATCACAATAATAGATGATTATTGTTTGAAATCAGAAAAACGCGGTGAGTTATAGTTGGAATAAATAAGATTTAAAAAGTGCATCCGGTGAGCTATGATTACACGAAGGAAAATTGCCTGGAAATAATGTAAAAGTAATTAATCATTCGGAACGGCTTACAAAAAAAAAGTGAAACATAAATTACAGTAGAAGTCATGAAAACTTTTAACACAATTTAGCTGTGACAGCGAAGACAATTTATTCCCCGACATGACACTCCTACAATTAGTCCCGGTGCGTACACAAACAGAGCAATCCGCTGAAACATTTTTTTTCTCCAGCTCAAAACAAAAAGTGCGCTGGATGAAGACGGGCGCGAATTTCGCACACCTCAGACGTAGGATAAACTAAGTTCTTATCGCATTAAGGTCAGTACAATTTACATTTATTCCAGTTTCGTGATCGAAAAGTTTTCGTTAAATGTGCGCGTTTTTTGGCGCTGGGTTGCGCGCACCCCCTAAATCGGGAGATATTTGTACGATTTTGAGCGCCGAGTCTCTCCCATTTCCGGACGAATGTCCCGACCGGTCGTGCCTGTCCCCAGTCTTAGAAGTTCGCGTGTCGCGTAAGAAATTCCTAACTACAAACTAGTACAAGTACAGATCGACAAGTCACAGAGTGAAAATAATCTTAGTTTTGATGATTTATTGGGAGATTTGTTGGAAAGTGATTGGAAAGTGATTGGTTGGAAAGTATAAAGGAAACTGCAAGTACCAGTATAAATTGAGAAGACACAGAGTGAAATTTTGCTGATCACTTTTGGAATATCAGTAGGAAACTACAAATACGCAATATAACTAATCAAGAAGACGTAAAGTGAAATGATCTTAGTGTTAATTGGAAAACCAGTAGAAAATTTCTAACAATTATAAGTAAAGATTTAGAAGTAGAGTGAAAGCATCTTATAGTTGATAGATTATTTGAAGACCAGTAAGAAACTAATACCAATCACTGATTTAATTTAAGAAAATCATAGTTTTGAAGATCAGTAGGAAACAACACACAAGTACCAGTCCAGAAGACGCAAAGTGGCAAAATCTTAAAATTTAAAGACCCATAGGAAACTGCAATCAGTACAAATCGAGAAATTAGTTTAGATAGTTTATTGCAAGGCAAGTAGAAAAGTACTATTCATCACCAATCAAAAGACACAGAGTAGGAAGATCTTATTGTTGATGATTTATTGGGAGACCAGTAAAAAACCCCTGTTCATAAAAACCGTATGGTCGAATGGTCATCACCATGCGCTTCTCCAAAAAGAGGATCAACCGCCATTCACCAACAAGATACAAAGAAGGTACACCAAGAATACGAATAACAAATCATCAAATCCCAGACCAAAGAAAATCGAAAACGATAATCTGAACATATCACCTGTGACCATTCTATCCCCAAACGGCCGTAAAGAATCCATTTCAAAAACGCCACGTAAATACGAGAATCCGTACAGAGAAATGAAACGTACGTATACCATTGATGTCATCCCTGGAGAAACAATGAAGTTCAAGGATTTTAACAAAGAAATCATGTTCAAACCAAAAATCGCAGCCTTTGGTGTGCGCTATCAGAAACAAAAAGAAGTGGAAATCGTTCCAGAGAAAACGAATGGTTTGAGTGAGCGGGTTATGGTTTGGTTGGATTTGGCAGCTCAGAATGGTCAGTTATACTATCACCAATCTACGACGGTTAAACCGGAGGTGAAGGAGAGAAGTCGGACGGCCGTGGCGCCGATCGAAGTTCGCGAAGAAGTTTGCGACGTGCAAATTAATAGCGCCGCGGAGGAAGAAATTTATTCTGAGCCAGAGGAACAGCAAAACGTCGAAAGATTTAATGGATTCGCGCACGATAAAAGACAATTACACATTTTCATACCAAACATTCCGTCGAAACGCACGGAATACGACGGAGAAAGTATTTTAAGTACTCTAAGCAGTAATATATGAGATTCTAATATCGTATCATTCGATCCATAAATATAAGAAAATAATATTAATTTATTGGAATTTCGAATATTCCAATTTACAAGCTATATTTGCAATTTAATTACTTTAGCTATTGCAATTATACAAATAGTTTCCAAGCATCAATAATAAGATTGTTTGAATATAAATCTTTGCATAAACATTAATATAAACCTAATAGATAAATATCAAATATAACTTATTTCAATTTATTAAAAAATATAGATCCAAAAAACAAATATAAAATTATCCTAAACTTTTTAAAAACTGAAAATAAACTTGCTTAATTACACCTTTTGTTGTCATTTCAAGCTTTTTTGTATAGAATAATTATTATAATTATGGTCTATATTCACGTGCATTGTATTATTGCTTGTAACGAAGGTTAATTCGTTAATCGCATTTACGATCTGAATGTTGACTTTCAAATATCTTGGTACAAACATCTGGACGTAAATACCAATAGATAAGAGATCTTCATAGTAATATTTACATAAGTGCATAAATGGTTATACGAATAAATATTAACTGAAATGAATATTATGCGTGAAATAAATGGATAATTTATAGAATTAATAATTTATTCAGAGAAATAAATATTAATTGACTTACCTGGTAATTATTGATGTTTACATCCCTCGCCTGGAATCTGGATCTGAGAGGTGGATCTAGAGGATTTCCACGATATCTAGAGAGAAAAAAAAACAAAAATTACAGAATTAACATGATTTAAATAAAATCTATGTTCATCAAATATTTTTAAATAATAAATTTAATAGATAAGATATATTTATTTATATAATATAATTGTTTTATGGTATATAACTTATATTTTTTTTGATTCTCATCTTTTGTTTTTATATATCTGAATTATTTTGCTATATTTATTAACAATAAATTGAACTAGAAACAATTGTTTGTAGTATATTTATAATACAAGTACTTGGTAAGTATGAAGTATGGTTTTTTAAGCAATAAACGAATCCGAATGAAATCATAAAGATAAACATAGAGGTCACTAGTAGAACATACATGATTTGCATTTACACAAATTAGCAGTTGAAAGACCTTGTAGTTCTTATCCTAGATAAATTATTTTGTTACGTAATTATATATTAATTATGTAATTTATCTGGTATTATTTGTCATCTTTTAAATATATTCATCTTTTAAATTTTTATATTATTAATTAGTAAAAATAAAATAAGTATAATTACCTTGGTACTGGTAAACCTAATGCAATAACTCTGAAACCTTCATCAACTCTGACCAATTTCCATTTTTCCAAATCATCTTTGCTGAATTTCTGGAATAAACCCAATTTATCATCTTCATCCACATACAACATATAAAACATACTTCAAGCAATTTATCATATCTCTCAGCAGGTATTAATAGTCTTCCATCTTCCAAATGCATTTCCCTGTTTTCAAGGAGATTATTTAAGACAGGCAACACATTTCTCTCAGCCTTTTCAATGCCTTCCAAGATTAAAACTCTACCTTCAGTTGCAGCCCTCACAGCACTCTGAAATATAAAAATAATAATATAAGAAATTTGAAAACTTCATATATTAATTAAATTACTTGATCAAAATAAGAAGCTGTCCCTTGCATGATTTCCCTTCTCTGCTTCAAATCAGACTCTGTGGTGTCTCTGCTCAAGGCAACATACTCATGCTCCCTATTTGTCAATTCCAAATATTGCATAGCTAAATTCCTCCTCCTTGGTCCTGGAGGTCCCAATAAGAAAACATCCTGACCCAATATGTCCTTCTGCATCATCCATCTCAGGTGATGCAGAGTGCTCTGTCCAGCATTGTCATCATCTAAATACACATTTATAGAGTAAAGTAGGCTGTTTAAAGGCGGATTTAGTTCAACTCACAATACTTCCTTGGTACATACTGTGGCAATTTCACTTTCTTCACGTCCTTCGTTATTCCACCGATTGAAACGGTGTCACTGGAAACGTAAGTTCTAACATTCTGCCAGAGGTTTTCCTTGTTGGGATTTTGCAGGCAACGTAGTAAAACGTTTAACCTGCGATTCGCTGCACCTTGCATCATTTCGCACTACATTAAGTTAATTCAAATTGGGTTATAATCATTACGGTTTTGGGTGCAAAGGTTATGTAAACGTCAAATCATGACGTTTTATGAAACACGTGCTTACATTCTTGTTACTTTGGTTGCCTATTGGTTACCTATAACAATATACAGTTGGTTCTCGTTTTACGAATTTAGAACGTAATAATTATATTTTCTAATACCGTAAGATCTGTAAACTAAGTATAATTGATATAACAACAGATTGAAGTTATTATTACTGAATATCTTTACTGATGTATATGATCTTCAAACAAATTTATGAAATCCTATTCAAAGAAAGATCAAGAGAAAAATGCATAGATTGGCATTGCAATTAAAATATTATTTCACAAAATATGAAATTTTCTTAGCTAAAAAAAAAACAAAAAAATGTTTGAATTACAATGTTATTTCAACCTGAAAGTATCGATGAAGTATTTAAAAATATTGAAAAAATATTATAAATGCTCTAATTTTTATGCAACAAATGATTTATTCAAATATTCAATTAGTAAATCAATAATAATAAATGCTTACAAATTAAAATTTCTATTTACAAATCTAATAAGAAAAATTGATTTAGTTACATTTTTCAAAGGAAACATTACTTATAATTAAAACACGACATGTTTATTAGAATAAATTTATAATTTAATGATATTCTAAGAGATTCAAAGAAAGTGACTTTCCAAAAATAACAGCTAATCAAATTGCTTTGCACTTTTTGATTCCCAAATTAAAATATTCATTGTTTTACGGTCTGGTTAATTTATTTAATTTTCGCTACTATATAAACCAAAATTGTAGCCACAGTAGTCAGTTCAAAAGTTATTGTATTCAAACACCCATCGAAAGAAACAAGATTAAAATGATGTTTCTGAAGGTAATATAATATAATTTAAACTTAATTATATATAATTATTTGTATTATTTCAGTTAATTGGATTGTTAGTAATTGCTACAATAATTAAGTCTGAAGCTTATGAGGAAGGTGAACAATATGTGGATTATTATTCTCATCCAAAATACACTTTTTCTTATGGAGTTGAAGACTTTAAGACTGGAGATTATAAAATGCATAAAGAAGAGAGAAATGGAGATGTTGTGAAAGGAGAATATAGAGTGGCTGATCCTAATGGATCAATTCGCACTGTAACTTATACAGCTGATAAAGAACATGGGTTTCAAGCTGTTGTTAAACAATCTGAACCTATTGAAGCTTCTCATATATTGAATGAAAATCAAGAAGCTTTTGCTGAGCATAAGCAGAATGAAGAATTCTCTGCATCTTCTCACTATAATTATTATCATGATGGTTTATCCAGACAATCAAAACCAGATGATTCCAAGCAGCAAATATTATCTAAATACACTCCATCTTTAAATAGTGATAAGTACTTGCATAGATTTGCTGATGATTCTGATAAGAAGAATAAAATGCAAAATCAAGACATTAGTATTTATCCCAGCAACAAACGTACATCTCAGATTAAGTATAATCAACAAGACGACAAAAACCATGAAATTGAAACACCAAAAACACATTATTTTGCTACTGGAATCGATAAGACTAACGTAAAACAAATTGAAGCAATTGAATATCCAAAGATTAAAGAATCGGCTTTTCAATTTGTTCCAAAATTAAATGCTGCAAAATCAGAAGATAAGAAAGTAAAAAATGTTGCTCAGCAATTTAACTTTGAATATCCAGCTTTGAAAATGGAATATGAGAATTATAATCCAACTGAACAATTATATTATGAATCAAAACCAAAAACGCAGTCGTCTTATTTTCCAGTAGACTTTCAAAATAATTATGGATACAATTTGAAGCAGAATGTTATTAAAAAACCATCAGGTTCCCAACAAAATGCTGCTGAGTTAAAGCAAAGTGTACCTCAGTTATACTATCCTAACTATGGTTATAATGAAGCTACTAAAGATGATTATCTACAATTGTTTCAACAGCCACAAAATGGTAAGATCAAAAATCAAGACGTTTTCAAGAAATTAGAAGAACATAAACCAGAGTATTCATATCAAAGTGTGGTTAATGGTAAAAGTCAAGTAAAGTCCAAGGTAACTCAAGATACCAAAACTGAAAAACAAAGCAAACCACATTTATATTCTACTCAACAACAGCAACCTAAAAGTGTTTCCAAGAAGGAAGAACAGAAGCCTGCTATCTCATACCAAACAGTAATTAATGGACAGAAGTCTCGTTTAGGTAATAAACAAGACAATGCTAAATACTATCAAGTAAATCAAGGACCCGCATTTTCATTCAGTCAAGAAGCAGAGAAGCAACAAGTTTATACACCGCATATTTACAATACTGACCATCAAAAATACGAATTAACTTCTCCATATGAAAGTGTAGTAAATAGAAAATCTCAGGAAAATTCCAAAGTAACTAAGAATATTGAATATTCAAATAATAAACAACAAGGGCAACAACAATTGTATTACACTCAACATCAACAACCTACAACCGATTCAAAGAAAGAAGAACCTGTTGTTTCATACAAAACTGGAAAACAGCAATTATATTACTCTCAACAAAAGCCAGAAAAAGTTTCAAGAGAACAAAATCCTGCTTTTTCATACCAATCTGTAACTAATGGACCAAAGTCACAGTTAGATAATAAACAAAAAACACTGAAATATTATCAACAAGCTGAAAAAAATAACGGATTTGAAACTAAAGTTGTGAAGCAAGCTCAGGTGCAACCATTGTATGCTCCACATATTTACAATATTGAAGCTCAAGAAGATATCAAAACAGAAAATCCGAAGTTGGATCAATCTTCCATTGCGCAATATTACGGTAATCTTCAAAACCAATTTCAAATTCCATCGGCATCAAAGAAAGAAACTCAAAAACAAGTTTTGAACTCAGATTTTGCTAAAGATTATTATAATCAACTATATCAAATGCAAAATGAAAATCATCAACCAATTGATTTACAAATGTACACAGTTCCTGGAGCTCAACCAAATTTCTTGGATATTGGATTAAAATCATTTTCGCAAAGTCAAGGTTACCCAACATTCCCATTCCAATTAAGTGAGAAATATTGAAAAATTGAAATGTTAACTATTTAATTTGTTAATTTTGTATTATGTTTTATTTCTTGTTAGTTACTATTAAATTGATTTAAAATAAATTTATTAAACATATTTTTATAATTATTATTAAAATCCTGTAATAAATAATATAAAAAAATATATTATTATCTATATCGATCAAACTTTCTTCTGATATAATTAAGTAAATAGTTTTTTAATCGCTTAAGGAGTTTAATCCGTTCCAAAATGTCCGGATTTTTACTCGTATAGTGAAACAGTTTTTCCCACATAAACCCATGTAAATTACGATAATGCGTTCCATGCAAAAGAAGAAAAAAGTATAACTTGGTCTCGATTTTTAACGAGCAAAATTTATTGTGAGAAAAATGACCCGCTTAACGGGCGACGTTTCGCTTAATGAGTGACGAGGAAAAGAGAAGTCCCGGATTGTACGCCCGCTACATTATTTTCAATACTTGTACACGTATTGTGTGTATTTTTGAATATATTTGAATATATTAACCATCTTAATTTTTTTATCATCTTTATTTATAGCTGACTGTAGTTTGTAAATATAATTTATGTTTGCTGTAAAAGCAAAACAAAAATGTATATAAGCTTTCTTATATAAACAAATATAAAAAGAATAAAGATACCTCCACAAACACTCCGGAAAAATGCAAATAATATAAATAAATGGAGTCAGGCGTAAACCTTATTCATCGTATGTGAATGGGAAAATAGTTCCTGGAGTTAGTAGTCACTTAGTTGCATCTTAGTGTCGTTCATGATCACACAGTGTCATAAAATAATTAAAAAACGAGCACAAGGATTAAGCGTAGCTAATCTAGTACATTAACGATTTGTACTACCCTCAAGAACATGTACAATATTATTGAGATAGATGCTGCAAAGGAAGTTACACGAATATCTACGCAACGGTCACGTTTTCTCGACAATATTGAAAAGTTAATGAACGGAAAATAATTGCAAGGCGAGAACATCATTTGTGAGAAGGCGAAAGTGATTTTTGCCAATGTCTGTCGGTGGTGTCCAACCATTATTATTATAATTGTTATTGTTAATATAGTGTATTAACGAACTAGAGACATCCACGACGTCTCTTAGTCGCATTATTATATAAACATATACATCAGCATAATAGAACTTCCACCGTGATCTCGGTTTGGTACATTTTAATATGAGCAAAGATACTCCTATACCTTTACTCCGAATTCAAGTTCTTATTATAAACACATAATGATCGTTACACGTACAATCGTAATCACTCATCTTTTCCATATAAACAAATGCATAGGATTTTGTCCCGGTCTTATAATAAACAAAACCACCGAGGCCGAATCCCGTGGGAACGCTTAATTATCAATATATACAAACCCTAGTCCCGATCACAACTCCCAAACCGAAATAATAAGAATTAACTTTGTAGAATAAGTATTTAGAATCAGTCTTAGTCAACCTATCAAAGTATCTACATTGTATTGGAAAGGACCCCAATAGTACCAATTATTATAATAAACTATAATAAACCAATTGGACAACACCAGAAAATATTCCACTGTGTCTAGAATTCCATCCCTGGGACACGACAATTGAGTAAATTTAAGATCGCGGTTGACATTAAATGGATAATCTTTCCCGGTGGATAGTTACCATTAATTTGTTGGTTGGCTGTCATCTTGTAGGTTAACTTCAGTAGTATATTGCTGCTCTGCGATTCCACTATTTCCTTTTACTGTGAATCTGCTGCTATCCTTAACACTGTCATTGTCCATCCACCTGACTGAAAAGGTCCATATGCTGAACCTCATTTATTTGACTGTCAATCTGTGATGAACGATGGCCCTATTGTTGCAAGCACCGAGAGGGCTCACAAAGGGTCTGGTTTGACCAGGATTCGTACCGGCACCCACGAAATCGTGGATAGGGCGACTTATCCATTCGGATATTAGTCGCCCTGAAAATTATGTAAAATTATAATGTTGTCTTTTCTCTTGTTAATAGTAAATTATTTTAAAGTAATACATATTATGCATTAATTCGTTCTTATATTTATTTTGAAAAGCGACATTTCATATAATATTTTCAAGTATATGAATGCCATTAAAAAGCTCTTATATAAATGAATACAGTAAGTGCATGATTTACGCGTTTAATTGGTTCCGAATCTCCAGCAAAATTTCCACCAAGTAAAAGTGTTTGCCTATCTTTAGAGACCTTAAACCCCGGCAAAGATTTTACATGTTGGGATATGTATTGTCACCACATTACCATGCCATGATGCCTTGTGGAAACTAAACTAAAATTGCGCAAGTCAAAAAATCACGTAAGTCGAAATCGCGTAAGTCGAGGACTTACTGTATTTGGTTTTCATTATTATTTCTTACAATACAATGAAAGATAAAATATCGTAAATCGTTAAATAAGTATGATTAAGCATGTTGGTATTAGTTATGTGCAAATATATTTATGTTATTTTACTGTGTAAATTATACAGAATTCTTATAAAAAAGTGTATTTGTGAATTATAAGTACAATTAAAATAATTGAGTTATTCAAAAAATACCGTTAAATAACCAAGTCACTAGCGAATATAATTATAATTTAATTAGTCTCTAAAAATTCAATGAAAGTACCTTTCCAAAAAAATACAATTATTTTGCTAGAATTATTTTTTTTCTTAAAATATTCCAATTTACGGTTCAGTTAATCGAATTCATTTGCTACTATATAAATCAAATATCGTAGCACAGTAGTCAGTACAAAGCTAACTTCCTAAAAGCAACAATCGAAAGAAACATACCAAAAATGTATCTAAAGGTAATATACAAATTATATAATATTTAATATATATTTATTTTATAAAATTTTAGTTACTTGGGTTGTTAATAATCGCTACAGTAATTAAGTCTGAATCTTATGAAGAAGCTGATAAACATGTGGATTATTATGCTCATCCTAAATACACTTTTTCTTATGGAGTAGAAGACTTTAAGACTGGAGATTATAAAACGCACAAAGAAGAAAGAAATGGAGATGGTGTTAAGGGTGAATACAGAGTGGCTGATCCGAACGGCTCAATTCGTACTGTAACTTATACAGCTGATAAGGATCATGGATTTCAAGCTGTTGTCAAACAATCTGAACCCATTGAAGCTTCTCATACATTGAAAGAAAATCAAGAAGCTGTTGCTGAGCATAAGCAGAACGAAGAATTATCTGCAACTTCTCAGTACAATTATTATCATGATGGATCCACACAATCAAAAGCAAATGATTCTAAGCAGAAGGCATTATTTAAATACACTCCTTCTTTAATTATTGATAAGTACTTGAATAGATTTACTGAAAAATATGATAAGAAGGATGAAATGCAAAAGCAAGAAATTATGAAGAATATTTATTCATACAACAAACATATTCCACAGTTTCAGACAAATCAACAAGAGGACATCAAGAGTGCAAGTGAAACACTAAAAACAAAATATTTTACAACTGGAAATACGAAAAATGTAAATAATGAACAAACTGAAGTATTTAAACAATATCCGCAAATGGAAGAACCAATTTTTCAATTTGTTCATAAAGAATTTCCAAAAGTAAATGCTGTAAAATCTCAAGATGGAAAAGTGAAAAATGTTGCTCAACAATTTAACTCTGATTTCAAATTGGTAAACCAAGATTACAATCCAAGTGTAACTGAATATTATGCACCACAGCGTATGGAAAAGCCAAATACTCAATCAACTTATTTTCCTGTAGATTTTCAGACTAATTATGAATTCAACTTTAAGCAGAATGCAGTTCAAAAACCTTCAGGTTTCTATCAAAATGCTGCTGATTTAAAGCAAAATGAACCTCAGTTGTTCAATCCTAAATATGGTTATGATGAAACTACTAAACAAGATAATCTAAAATTATTTCAACAACCACAAGAGATGAAAAATCAAAATATTTCTAAGAAAGTAGAAGAACAGAAACCGGCCTATTCGTACCAAAGTGTTTTAAATGGGAAATCTCATCAACTTTCTAAGGTAACTCAGGATACTGAACACAACCATCAGTATAAATCTTTAATTAATAAGCAAGAGAAGCCTCAATTATATTTTTCTCAGCAACAGCAGCTTATATTTAAAAAACCTGTTGTTACACAAGAAAAGGTTAAATACAATCAAGTATCAGCACTAAATCAAGGAGATGAATTTAAAGTTGTACAAGAAGTACAACCGTTTTATTTACAAAAAATCGACAATAGTAAAAGTCAAGAAAATGTACTGGCCTATCCATATCAAAGTAATGTATACGGAAAATCTCAGGATAAACCAAAGACAGATTATGATACTGATCGTAATCAAGAATATGAAACTTTAAATAAGGAGTATAATTCTCAAAAACAACAACGGAATGTAAATTTAATGGAAGAAGTGCAAAAACCTGCTATTTCCTATCAAACTATTATCAATGGATATAAGTCTTTGGAAAATACACAAGAGAAGGTTAAATATAATCAAGTAATTGAACATAATCAATCTCCAATTTATGCACCACATATTTACAATATCGATGCTGAAAAATATAAACCAACTTCTTCATATCAAAGAGTTAAAAATGGAGAATTTCAAGAAAATTTTAAGGTAACTGACAATATTAAACATAATGGTCTGTATCAAACTTCAATTGATCAACAAGGAAAACTTCCATTATATTATCAACAACAGACACAAGAATCAATTCAAAAAAAAGAAAGCTATTACACAACTAGGTAATGTTAAATATTATCATGAAGCTGAAAACTATCAAGAACCAAAATTGAAGTTAATGCTAAAAGTCGAGAAACCATCGTTTTATGCACAAAATTTTTACACAGCTGAAGCTGAGAAATTTCAACAATTTCAAGATTATTTACAAGCGAAAGCACATTTTAATGCAAATCTTCCAAAACAAACCGGAATTGAAACTATCCAATCTGAAAAACAAATAATTGAATTGAAAAAGAAAGAATCTGAAAAGCAGTTAACAAATTCTGAAATTGTGGAAACTTATTATGAACCTCTACATAAACTATATCGAATCCAAATAGACAATCGTCAACCAACGGAAATGAAGAAACCACAAATGATGACTAATAAATATTTTGTACAAAAATCACAGAATTCTGATTCAATTAGGAAAGACAACAAACAAAAGTTATCTTACAATCAACAACAACAAGGAGATGATAAATATTATCAAGTGTATGAAAACAATCAATTATTGTCAAATGAGAACCAATATTTTATCCCACTTCTCGAGGAGACCAAATCCAAAGAAAATATGCAAACAGAAAATAAAACATTTTAGGATTTTAATGATTCCGCTGTAGATTATTATGAATATCTTGGAAAACCTCAAAATGTTGAAAATCCAAAGGATGTTAAAAAATAATTTATCTAAAGTAACTTTGGATAAATCTTACAAGTCTCAATATCAAATCCAAAGTGGAATTCATCGACCATTTAACTTATATGAATATTCTCAACAAAATTCTCAACCTAATATTTACCAACATTCCAATTTCAACAAGCTAATAAGCACTAAATATATGAGTCTCTTTTAATTGTTATATGTTATGTATTTTCTATTATTTGTTTTGTTATTTTAATAAACATTTTCTAAATTATATTTTATATTCAATCTATTCTTCCTGCATTGTAAGTTCACCTACAACACATTGATCTAATTACAAATATTGTTATATCTAAGTTATCAAGACGCTATATAATATTTATATAAACGACATAGCCGACATTGAGTTAGACTCTAACTCAATGTCGTATGTATGTATGCTTCCCTCTAACTGTTAGAGGGAAGCATATACATGTATGCGGACGACACATGTATTCTGTACGGACACAGGAAGGAAACGGCGTTGCAGAATAGCATCAACAACAACATTATTAAACTACAGACATGGTACGATGACAATCTATTAACAATAAACGAAACTAAAACACACTACATGATTCTACAACAAAAAAATGCTAAAAAGATCGATCTAAACATCACTATAAACAATATAAGCATAAAAAAGTATAACAAGAGAGATACTTGGGAATACTATTGAACAACAAACTGGGTTGGGACGACCACATAGGCTTACAAAAAAAAAATGCTACAACAATTGGATGTGTGAAAAAAAATTTCTCTCGAACAAGTGTAAAATGGCAGTGTACCATAGTATGTTTACCTCGAGGATGTGGGGAAATACAACAAAAGAAAACTTAAAAGCATTAACAAGACAACAAGCAAAGCTAAAAAAAATATGTTTTCAAATAGCCGTGACACGCAGATACCGGATGTAGGGACACTGATAGAGACACAGACAAACATTCTGATACACAAAATAGTAGAAAAACATATTAAGACCCGGATATGCCTGTCTTTGGGCTGCGACACACACGATCATAATACAACATGGTTCCGGAGAAAACGACATGAAGAAGTTCAAAACATAAATGATATGTTAGTCGCGGAACGAAGACATAGAACATGGTAAGCCAACAAGCCCGCTCAAAATACCGGTTCCAAGGAGCGTACCGAAAGAACCGAAGCTGACGGGCATAAAAATAAGGAAATTAATAATAAAAATATATAAAAATAGTGTAAAAATTGTATATAAATAAAAAAAGGCTAAAGTAGAAGAAATAAGCAATGGTGATTTTGACTTATTTTTTAATTACGATTGAAAATGTTGAGAATACGAAGACTTTATATTAGATAATATTGTAAAAACATCATAATTAATGTCACGTGGAGGCTGTCTAGATCCTAATTTTATTATTGTAATTTTAATAATGTATAATTAAACTTGCTTGATTTTTTAAATTTGTATAGAATAGATTTTTATGAATTTTTAATTTAAAAAAAAAAATCTTTAATAAAAAAATCAATAATAAATAGTAGTTATATTAATTTGTTATTCAATTTTGTATGTTTTTTTTTCTCGAATTACAAACTTCATATTATTATTATATAATAATATTTTTAACAGTCGACCTTATCTTTATAATTTTGTTATGATGATTTTGTTTCGATTTTTATTTTTTTATATGACTGTTCTTATATATTTTTTAATTATTATCTAATTTGTTTATACAAAAAGTTTCGGATAACAATGATAATAAAAATACAAACTTTAGTACTAGTTCCAGAATAACGGGGAACACATTTAAATAATACTTTGTTTTTTAAATATTTAAACAAATCGAGGAATATTTTTACTTAATTTATGATATTTTATAGAAATTTAATTACTTACAATATAAATTAATAACTTTAGTGCTAAATGGACCAATAACAATTATAATTATTTTTTCTTTCATATAATTATATGAATTTGTTTTTTTTTTACTTGTTTATTACTATACATAAAAAAATACATTTACAATAGGCTATTCACCGTAGTTATATGTTTCACTTAAAATTATTCATATTCTGTCATTATTAACAGGAAATTTACCTTTCAATGCATCCCGAACTGCAAATTATATAAATTTGAAACAATTGAATGAAAGCACCTTTCTACAAAAAAAGCGAACCCAATTAGTTTGCAATTTTTTGTTACTACATTATTTTTTTTAACGTTTCAGTTGAGTAAATTCATTTTGTTAGTATAAAAGCCAAAAATCCATAGAACAAAGTCAGTTCAACGTTAATTCTTGCAACGCAAACATCGATTAAAAATATAAAAACAAAGATGATTTTAAAGGTAATCAATAATTTGTAGTGTAAATTATTATATTAATGTATTTTATTTCAGTTATTGGTATTGTTCATTATCACGACAGTAATTAAGTCTGAAACTCATAAGAAAGATGACAAACTTGTTGATTATTTTGCACCTGCTAAATACACTTTTTCTTATGGAGTAGAAGACTTTAAGACTGGTGATTATAAAATGCATAATGAAGAAAGAAATGGAGATAGTGTTAAAGGAGAATATTCAGTGGTTGATCCAGATGGATCAATTCGAACTGTGAGTTATACAGTTGATAAAGAACATGGTTATCAAGCTGTGGTTAAGCAATCTGAACCATTGATAGTTTCTACTGAATTAAAAGAAAGTCAACGAATTAATACCCAAAATAAGCTATCAACTAAATCTTCTGAGTATAAGCATCAATCTCATGGATCTTCAAGTGAATCATATAATCCTGATTTTAATGGTGAAGCCTTTTCTAAACAAACTCCAATTAATTTGGTTAATTCCACTGAGAATGCTCATGGTAATGACAAGGATAATTTTAAAAAGGAAGAAATTAATCAATATCTTCAAAATTACCAGTCGTACATTTCCAAATTACAGAATAATCGACAAGAAAACATAAAGCTTAATACGAAACCAAAGAATAAACAACAAATTAAATATTTAGATTCAATGAAGTTTCCTAATTTTAAAACTAATGATTTCCAATTAAATCATAAGGAATCTAAAAAAGTAAATCTTAAAGAAGTTACTAAAGTTAATCAATTGGAACAAACAGATATTTCTAATTATTCAGGATTTCCTAATTACAAATCTAGTGCCATGGAACCATTACATTATACTCCAGAACTTTTTAAAATTTCTAAACAAAAAATTGGTGGTGGATTATATAAAAGTGATGTGAATGTACAGGAAAACTATCAAACTGGTTCTGATAATATTCCAGCAGATTTACATGGTAATTATGGACAAAAATTGAATGTTGTTCAACAATCTGCATTTCCTAACCAAAAAGTAGATGTAAAACAAAAAACTCAAAAGCAATTTTATACTAATCAAGATTACTTTGTAAATGGTAACAAAAATTATCAGGAACTATTTCATCAACCACATGGTTTCAATGTCAAAAATCAATATGGTTTGAGGGAAGTGGAGATTCAATATCCTAAATTTTCTTATAAAAGTATTGAAAATGGGAAATCGCAGGAAAATCTTAAGGTTTCTCAAAATATGAAAGATGATCATCTGTCCCAAGTTTTAGATGGAGAACATAATTATTATAACCAAGAAGAATACAATCCAGTTATTTCCTATCTACCAGTTAGCAATGGAAATGATAAATATTATCAAGATTATAAGAATGATCGAGAAGAGAAATCTGAAAATATGAAGATAGATCAAGTACAACAATTTTACTTTCCAATCACCCAAATTGAAGAAAATGTTAAGATTGATGATGGAGATTTGACAAATTTTGAAGAACAATTATATGGAAAGACTCTTGCCGAATATTATGGTCATCTTCAAAAACAAGGAACAGTTGAAATCTTGAAAACTCAAAATGAAGAATACTTAAATGGAGATACTCTTGCAGAACATAATGATGATTTTCAAAAACAAAGAGGAACTGAAATGTTTAAAAATAATACACAAAAGACTCAACCAAATAAAAATATTAAAGGATATTTAAATGATGAAACTCTTGCAAAACATTATAGAAATCTTCAAAAACAAGGAGAAATTAAAGTTGTCAATGATAAAAAGCAAAGAATTCAACCAAAAGAAAATGCCGAAGAATATTTAAATGGTGAAACTCATTTAGAATATTTTGGTAATCTTCATAAACAAGCTGGAAATAAAATTATTGAACATCAATTCTCGCAACCAAAGGAACAATATCAAATTTCTAAAACATATTTTGCTGAGAATGATTATAAGCCTCAATATTTTCATCAAATTAAAAGCTATCCAAGATTCCAATTCGAGAAAATTGCAAAGCTTTAAATTTAGTCTAGTGTATTAAATTTTGAAGTGTTATCTATTGTTATAATTTTTGTTATTATAGTTTGTTATTGTCTTAAAATATACGTATTCTAAATTATATGTTTTTAATGAATATTTCTTGCCTATAATTATTAAACAATTTGGTATTTTAAGAATAGTAATTTGCTCGTATGCTCGTATATATGTTTATTTGTAGTAATCATGGCTTGTTACAATATAGTGTGATACATAGGATATAAAGATTACAAAGGTTTCTTACTGTATAATGAGTCAGAGACCCGAGAGCCAACATAGAGAATACTCACAAGATAATACCGGGAACCTTACAACTTAAAACTACACACAAGAGATGCGGAAGCGAAGACAGGAAATAAGAAAAGAGAAAGCGGGTACAGATATATTGCCGCTAATATACCCTAACCAGGTAGAGCCCTTATCAGACCTTCCCGGAATACCAGCTGCGGGCTGGGGTGGGGCGCACCGTAACGGGCTTGTAGGTGACGTCATATTAGCGGGCTGGAGTGAGCACCACAGTACCCCCTTGCTAGTGATTTGATCCGTGGAGCAAATGCATTCGGAAGCGTCGTCGAATTGAACTCCGGATGATGTCTAGCTTGTCGAAGAGTAAGGGTCACCAGCTGAAACGCTTGATTTCGGTGCACAGAATGAGTCATATGTAGAAGGATGTCGAGGATATATTCGCCACTGCTGGACAGTCACATCGACACGTCTTAATGTCGTGATGGAGTTCTACATTGGTACGGTTGAGGCGGAGAAGGTTGTTGTGTTTCAGTTGTCCAGGGGATTCGCCGCTGCTGGACAGTTACAACCACACGTCGTAATGCCGTGATGGAGTTCTCCGCAAGAGCAGGGTATGATCCATATGGAGTCGTACCGTGCTAATCGGATTATCGCTTGTTGATCCAGTTTGTCGATGTTGTTGAAGGTCTTGTGGACGGTGTGTTGCCATGATGTCGTAGGAAGTGTGCTGCCATGTCGTAAAAGGTTGTTACTACTTGAGCGTTCTCCATTTCGTTTTAGAATTCGATCACGTCGGGGTCACCAATTTGGAGATGCTCGTATATATGTTTATTTGTAGTAATCATGGCTTGTTACAATATAGTGTGATACATAGGATATAAAGGTTACAAAGGTTTCTTACAGTATAATGAGTCCGAGGCCCGAGAGCCAACACAGAGAATACACACGAGATAATACCGGGAACCTTACAACTTATTACTAACCACAAGAGATGCGGAAGCGAAGACAGGAAAAAAAAAAAGAGAGAGCGGGTACAGATATATTGCCGCTTATACCAGGTAGAGCCCTTATCAGACCTTCCCGGAATACCAGCTGCGGGCTGGGGTGGGGCGCACCGTAACGGGCTTGTAGGTGACGTCATATTAGCGGGCTGGAGTGAGCACCACAGTAATTATTAAGTATTTATTGTCTGAATATATGATTTAAGACTTAATTCATCTCTAGATACATACATTTTAAAGAGAAACAACGCAAGTAAATATATTAAAATTACATATTTTTTTGTTTTGTAAATTTTAAATATCAACTTTCAAAATTAGAAGTAAACTATAAGATAACGTGTTAATATGATGTCTTATAATTGGATGTTTTTAATAAATTTAAAATAAATCATACTTCAATTATACAATATCAAGAAAGGTCCAAAATTGGTGACATCAGTGTTATTATATATATGTTTGCTTTTTTGTAAACTTCCTATTATATTCTTCTGTAATTTGTTGGTTGGCTGCCGTCTTGTAGATTAACATCAGTAGACTGATGCTCTGCGATTCCACTATTTCCTTTGTCTGTGTATCTGCTGCTATCCTTAACACTGTCATTGTTCATCGACTTGGATCAAGGTCCATATGCTGAACTGTTCATTTCACTGTCCATTTGTGACGAACTATGGCCCTAAGTACCGAGAGGGCTAACAAAGGGCATGGCTTGACCAGGATTTGAACTTAACTTAACCATTTGGCTTTTAGTTGCACTATTGTTAATATATAACTAAATAATTAAACACCAAGTTAGATTAATTTTATTTTTACCTTCTATTATAATATTTTTGGAATGTTATTATTTTATATGTAAATTATTATAAAATAATTAATATATAATAATTTCCATATTAGCAAATAAAATTTATAAGTTAATCATCATTTAAATTTAAGACAAATCTATGTACATTTGATGTAAATATTTTGTTCACAACTAGCACCAGTGTGCCGATAGGACTGCAAGTATACATACATCACATATGATAAATATTAGAAGCATGTTAGCATGTTTGTGATGTATATATCTCAATCTTTTGGAAATTTATAATATTTATAAACTTATAGAATTTTCATAAATATTTAATTAATAAATAAATAATAAGAATAAACAAAATAAGATAAATTCTAATATAAATTAAAAACTACACCACCTTAGTAAAAGTAACAATAGAAGGTCAAAATAAAATTAATGTAATTTAGTCTTTCGTCACGTACCAGGGGGCCTGCACCAGGGTGTGCAGGACCTTGGACTGGAAGCGTTGCAGGATCTCGATGTTGGAATTGCTGGCTGTTCCCCAAATCTGGATGCCGTACGTCCACACCGGTTTCAGAAATGTCTTGTAAATTAATAGTTTGTTGTCGAGGGATAGTGGAAATCTTTTGCCGATCAGGCAGTACAATTTCGCGAACTTGATGCCCAGTTGCTATGTGCTTCTTCTACGTGAGTCGGCGATCCAGGAACAAGTGAAAGTATTTGGCATCATCGGCCTACGGGATGATTTTGCTGTGCAGGTTCCCTTTTTAAGGGTGAAAGTGGCTGGATTTGGTTTCGACTTTGATCCGCCACTTCCTGAGCCACTCCTGGTAAAATTTTAATGATGCTTAACTTAAAAATTGGATTTGTTAATTTAGAAATTATTATTTTATATTAATTATTATATAATAATTTACGTTTACATATAAAACAATAATATTTCAATAAAAGGTCAAAATAAAATTAATGTAATTTAGTGTTTAATTATTTGTTTATTTATATATTAACATTTACATTATACATTATTTTCTATATTTTATTTTGCACTCATGAATATACGAAAATATTCAAAATTATACAATTTCGAGTCATCTTTTGGCGCCTTTGGTGGTAATGGTTTCAACAATCCCGCTGGATCATTAGCATTTGTTCTTTCTAACTTGGTCCCAGTTTTGCTATCATGTACAGTATTTTTTAACAACACCTTACGGATAAAACTTAACTCACTCACTTCATTGACACTGTCCTTATTCACTAGTTCATGTTGCGAAACTTTCGTCTTCTTCGGCTTGCTATCTGATCGGTCTTCATTCTGGAGCCTACTCAAAACATTTTTTATTAAAACGGAGCGAATGAGCGGCAAACATTTTTGCTTCTTCGCACGTTTTCTTGATTTCCTTTTGCACTTCTTCGCACGTTTTCTTGATTTTCTTTTGCACTTCTTCTTTTTGGACAACTTGCGCTTGCTTAATTTAATAATATATTTTTTCTGCTGTTCGTATTCCACTGAACGCTTAGCTTTCTTCGTTACTGTTTCTTCTGCATCTGGTACTGCTTCTTCCAATTTACGTTTTTGGGAGACTGCTTCATTTGCCATTATGTTATAATATGTTACTACTTCGAATGAAAATATCGAAATGATAATGTTCAGTAGATTTCATTTCATTTTATACTTTTTTCATCACAACTACCCCTACTATTACCAATATAAATGTTCAATATTTTTTTATTGCACCCAATAAAAAAACCTTTTTTCTTTACCTGGGAATTTCCGTATTTCCATTGCTCAAATAAACTTACAATTAAATATTCTAGGAAATCAAAACAACTTTTACAAACTTAAAATGCATACCACCCTAAATAAAATTTTGTATTATGAGAACATATACATATAATTTATGAAAATTCTACAAGTTTATAAATATAACAAAAGCTCAGAATAATCTTCAAAAAAATCATCTTCATACCAAATCTTCAATTGGAAAGCAAAGTAAACCAAACTTATTACACTCAAGATCAACGAAGTGAAAAAGTCAACGCTTCCAATGATTTATATAAAATCAGTCAATCTCAAAATAATCTTCAACATGATCACCATACCAAAACATCAATGACAAAGCAAACTATATGAGATTTATATTACACTCAACATAGCAAAAAAGTCTAAGATTTCAACGAATTCTGTAATCATGAACCATCTTCTTACCAGAGTATTGAAAATGGTAAAAATAAAATACAACATATGCATCATACTAAATCTTCAATTGGAAGGCAAAGTAAACCAGATTTATATTACACCAAGTATCAAGAGATTAAAAAGGATTCAACAAGGAGACAAGAAATTTGAAATTTATTATGAATCTATAAAAAATGGAATACAAGTGAAATAAGGTAATACCCAAGAAAATCTTCAAAAACTGTATTATCTCAATCAAGCGAATCATGCTTAATTACCGCTTATAAATCAATTCTGAAACTGCTTCTACAATTTCAAAATTATCCTACAATTCAATTCAATTCAATTCAAGGAAAATTATTATAATTAATTAAGTTTGTTGTTAATTATTTAATCGTTAGTTGTTAATATTAATTTGTTGTTATTATTACTATATTGATTTAATAAATGCATAAAAAATAATTTCTTTTTATTTAGATTTTACTAAAATAAATTATAAAAATATGTAATATTTTGTTATTTAATCGCTAATTAAAGACTTTTTTATTTAAGAAAAAATGCATTAATTTTAGGCGAATAGTAGTAGTATTTTTTAGTTGGACATAAATTTTGTTTTTTTATCTAAAATCTTCAAATATTCTTTATTTCCTCAAGTTTTCTTCGATTTAATATTAATTAAAATATTCATGTTATTTAATAAAAAAATGTGTAAGTTAAAGAACTATACTATTTTTTAAAATATTTATTATGTGATATATCCATTATTAATCACAAGTATATAATATATAAATCAATAAATCTACATATTATATAAGAAATGTAACAACATGTGTTAACAACTTGCTTATATAAAATTGATTGTTAGTTTTTAATAGATAGTCATATATTTTCTATGTAATTGACTCATTTATATAGGAAATAAAATGTGTTTGTTCTTGCAGACATTTAAGGATAAATTTTAGTTAATGCATTAATCGTGTTATGTAAATCATTACTGTTGATAAGTACATGAAATTTATATTTTACAGTAAAATGAAATATTTAATTTTTGTTCCACAGTATTAAATCAACAATATTATCATTAGGTCCGGGTCAGCAATCATTTTATTATTGCATTCATATTTCAATAATGTTGACCCATTATCGAGGCTTAATTCTAATTGCAGTAAATTTGAGAATAGAAAGTGCTTCAAATATGAAATCCTTCCCGCATGGAAATCCAATTCCATTAAATCTAATCCAATTTGGGAATTTAATTTGGTTAAATGCATCGAATAATATTTGGATTTGTTTTGTTTGGTGGAGGTGCCGATCATAAGCTTATATAGCACTATAATTCAAACAGACTATAATTTGAAAATTACTTTATATTTTCCAGATAATTTGATGGGAACTACTCATAGGTGTTCCGAGCAGCACGCGAACTTGAAGAGTTTGTATCGCAGTGATGGCATCTTTGGCTGCATCGACAACAACCTTTTCAATGCTGTTCCGTGTAATGACGAACGTTCTATTTGTGAAATTGGTTTCGTGTCGTTTGGAATCATTACCCGATGATTTATCGGAACGACAATCTCTGGCTGAGTGTATTTCCAAAGCATCGGATATCTACTTCCTCGAAAACGAGATCATTACGTTATCACTAGCTACAAGCACTGCAGACTATATGAAGTCGCCTCTAGTATTGGATAGATTGCTGCTCTACGAGCTCTTCAATAAAACGAAATGGTCCATTTTGGTGAAGAAACCTAATCAAATTATCAAAGTGAAATCGATCCACTCTATAGAGTATAAAAAATCGGATTACTACATTATCCAAATTAGGACGTTGCAGGAGGTCGACCAGGATTTGGACCATCTGAAGCATCATCCTTCATGGAATCCCCATGCCAGATTCATGATTATATCAGTAACTTATTTTAACCATCGCATGTCCGCAGTGGCAGCTGTTATTAAAAAGCTTTGGGATTTGGATATACTCAATGGAGTTATACTTTTTTCCAATAATAATCGCAGCACTGTATTCAACGTCTACTCTTGGTTTCCTTTTGCCAACGGAAGATGCGGCGATAACTTCAATCAAATCCAATTAATAACCACTTGCAGGTTTGGTATTTTCGATAATGATAACGATTGGTTCCCAGAGAAGATTCCGCATGATTTAAATGCTTGTCCGTTTAATGTAAGAACTTTAGTTTTTCCTCCATTCGTTATGGAACCTGAGAATAATGAAAACGGAAGCTGCGTATTCAAAAATGGGTTGGAAATACGCTTACTTGATTTAGTAGCTGAAGTGGCCAATTTTACTACAAAGTATAGCATATCTGGGAATTTAAACGACTGGGGTACTATTCATGTTAAGGATAATACTATTTCCAGTTTGCTAATCCAAGGTAAAATGGATCTTGGAGTAGGTTCGATGTCAGCAACAGTTGATAGGCACTTCGAACTGGATTGGACTGGTTCGTATTTTTTGGATGCTTTAGGGTTTTGCGTTCCACATGCTGAAGAGAAGCCTCAATGGAAGAAGCTTTCTGGAATAATGCATGGTCATGTTTGGATGGCAATAGGCGCTTCAATTATTATCACAATCATAACCACTTACAGTTTTAGCCGTAGATGTACTTGGAGCAACGAATTTACCACTTACAAGACGTACTTTGGGGCTTCCCAGAAAGTCCTTGCAATTTTCTTAACCAATTCTATCAATCGTCTACCAAAAACCATCAACGTTAGGATCATCATCAGCGTGTGGATAATAGTTAGTTTCTTCTTAACCACAGCTTATCAAACTTGCTTGATGAGCTCTTTAACTAAACCAGATTATGAGCCGCAAATTAAAACAATCTCAGAACTCCTCGATGCAGATATGGAACTGCTCTTTGTCCAAGCCACGAAGAGATATTTTGATTCAGAAGTTTCCACGGAGGATTCAAAAGAAATGTTGAGGCGTTGGAAAGATTGCCCGAGTATCGACGATTGTCTACAAAGAACAGCCTACAAGAGAGACAGTGTTGTGGTAGCCTCAAGGCTGTATACATCCTACGCTGAAAGCGGATACAAAAGCTCGGATGGGTTGCCATTGCTTTATTGTTTTCGTCATAGCATTGTAACTTTCCCAATAGTAATTTATATGAGGAAAGGTTTTCCTTTGAGGGATCGAATTGATAAAATCGTGGATAGAATCAACTCCGCAGGATTCTTGCAGCAGTGGGAGAAGAGCTTATTCGCAAGGAAGAAAATAAATTCGAGCGAGGAATTCCAGTATCGGCAAGACGTTTATTTAGGATTGGTTCATCTCCAGCCCATCTTTATTATTTTAATAGTAGGCCTAGCTGTCTCCGTTATGTGCTTTCTGATTGAGATAATCTTATTTAAATATTTTGTTAAGAAATTAAATTAAATCTTAATAATACGGTGACTAATAATAATTAGCTCATACTGATAATTAACAACTGCAGATAATTGTATTTAATTATGTACGCGTATGTCCTAAAATTATAAATTATTTATAGTTTAATTACAATGTGGACAATGCGAAATTGCCGCATTAATTATCAAAAGTGAATGTAACCATAATTAATAATTACTCTTTCGAATAGTTCACTATCCTACATAGGATAAAACGAGCCACATGACGTAGGCACCAACGTTATGTTGGTTGCATACATTATATTTCGCATTTATCTAGAAGAAAAAACATATTCATATTATATAGTCAATACTTCTGTTAAAAATTTATTTATAATCAAAAATAACTTAAAAATATACAGTATTTAATTCACAAAAATAATAGTAATAAAATAAAGAAAAAGATGAAATGGTGTAAAGAGGATTTTAAATTAATTTGCATTTTGTTTAACGAGCAAAATGAATTGTAAGAAAATGACTCGCTTAACAAGCGACGTTTCGCATAACGAGTAACGATGAGATGTCCCGGATTGCGCGCCTTTTACATAATTTTTAAAACATATGTACACATATTATGTGTGTTTTTTTTATATACTAACCATCTTCGATTTTCTTTATTATCTTTCAAATTTTGGAACGGATTAAACCTGTTAAGAGAGGTTCCACTGTACTTATAATATTCTTGCAAATTAACGAAATATAAAATCTTATATTACTATAGAAAATACTAGTTATAGAAAAATAAATCCATAAGTAAAATGATTGTTTTTTTTAATAATATAGCATTTATTCTTGTTTTTCTTCTAGAAATGCAACTAATAGTATTTGTTATAATTAATATAAATTTTTGTGTAATTAATGAAATGTTTAATAAACCTAATTATTTTTTTTGTACATACTAACAATTATTTTTTTTTAAATTTAATTATTCATTAAAGTAATAATATTATTTATTATGATATATTTGCTTTCATGTACATGAATCTGAATCAATGATGAGAAGTAATAGAGTTTGCTGTTGATTTTGCATTGACATTTTTGATTCCATTCGATCTCCTCGCACGTAAATATTGAATCTTCCATGCAATCAGTGTTTCGATAGCAAAGGCAATTATCGCTACGGCGTTTCCAAATGCGTAAAGGAAGAAGATAGAACTGTAGGTTCTCATATTAAACAGCGTATCCTCAGGGGCATTCCTTTTGCTATAGGGAATTTTGTAACTCTTGTATTTCCCTAATGCGTCCTGCGTCCATTTGTCCAGGAATCCAGCTGAAAATAAAGGAAAACATTTTGTTGGATTTTTTTTCATTCTCTATTTTAGGGGCAATGGCTTTACCGTTGCGCAACTTTCCAATCAGTGTATCGAAGGATTTCCAAAATGGAACTGCCGGCTGCAGGATCCACGCGTGAGGGATGGATCTAACTGGATGCATGGTAATCCGAAGTTTATCCTTATCGTAAGTCTCCAACACATCCTTGCACATATACTCTAAGTTGTACTTGAGTTTAGTAATTTCATCAATTAACGCCGACTTGTGTTGGAAGATGTACCTCAGCAGCTCGCATTTGTCGGATAACAGCTTACCGCTTCTGATGGTAAAGAATGCAAAGATTGCATTAATATGCCATTTCACGCTTTTATTAAAATACACGAAGTGGCAGAGTGTAACAGATGGTCAACGCAATTTAAACTTTGCCGCAGCGGGAAACCAGTGCATATATACACACACATTTATATGTATATATCAAGTTGGAGGGAGTAAGAAAAAAATGGAAAGACTAGAGACGTGGAAGGATGAAATGGTATTGTGCAATTTAGAGCGAACTCAAAGCATGTCTACTGCATCCAATTACCTTCGAACATTCCACTCAACTCCCGCAGGACTTTCTCAAATTACATTTTATTATTATCCTTTATAAATAACGTATTTTTGCCATCCTCTTTACGAATTCCACGGACAAACTAAATGTCAGCGATCTTAACTTTATAAACCACTTATACAATTAACTTATTTATTTATATATTTAATATTTATATCGTTATTATTTATGTAATAAGTTATGTTATAAATATACATAACTAGATTCTGTATATTTCAACATGTATATAATAAAATATTATTAGAAAAAAAAAAATCAACGAGTAGGCGTCTATGGGACGCAAGTGGGTACAAACCAACCCTAATTTTTAAAAATGGAAAGTTGAGACAACCCCAACCAATGTACCTTCTTGATTGTACAAGCACATCACGACATTTTAAAGTAATGCGGTGAAGTATTAACAGCAAAATATTGTTAGCAGAGTCTATCAGACGCGAGTAGTGGTTTTATAATATCTTACTTTACCATTTTTAGAAACAGTAAGTTCTAGTGATTAAAATATATATTAAGAAATTTAAATTAATCATAGTTTATAGATGCACGGACATAAACTTTTTGATCCACAAAATGAACCAGATGCAGAGATTTAACATTTAACAGCATATTAGCAATGGAATCAGAAAAAGACAAACCATCGGAAACGATGATAAAGATATTTTTTTTTACATTTTTATAAAATAAACATGTTTAAAAAGTAATATGTTTTATTTATTTCTCAATTTAATAAATCATGTATTTATATAAATTAAATAATATCTTTATATTTGACGGAGATTCTCAAACGCCAAGCGAGTAACGATATTACGAAATGCCACGCGAGTTGCTTTTTTTATTGAACAATAATTGGTACATTGTGGGCTGAAGGACTAATGACCGTAGTCTTTTCGCTCAACTTTTAATTAATCATGGTCAAACATATTGTTAGTTTAAGGTAGTTTATGTAAATATTATTTGTTACTTAGAAAGGAACATTAATTTTTACGTCTATTGATATATTGTTCTCTAACGTATGTTGTCATTTAAATAAAGAATTTTATATAGAAAGGTATCCTAGTAACTGCTTCGCTCATCCAAATAAATCGCACAGTTCGTTGCCATGACTACACGCTGGGAAACTGAGTATTATATTTTTTTAATACTCACAAAATGTACAAAATTTATTGGTTCTTTTGTCCAAAGGACAATCGACCGATGCCTTTCTGCCAATTTTTTTACATTTTTATTAATATTGAGGTAACATGTGTATTTTCTGAAATATTTCTTTAAAGTTTCATTTATATACATAAATTTTATAATAATAATAATAATTTGAAATGAAGATATATAGTAAATTTCAGTTTACTTTGCAATTTAATTTATTTTTACTTGACAATATAAATATTATGTAAATAAATATATTAAATGTAGCTGATTTTTTTTTTAGAGTTTACTGAATTTTATAGAATTATTTGTTAAATATAAAATACAAATTTATATCCCAATTGGATATTTATGAAATATAATGGGAGGTATATGAAGAAACCCCAAGAACCATAAATTATATTTGTCGCAAAGTTAATTGCAAGTGCATACCTTGCTTAACGTTATTTCTGACAACAAAGTATTTCGATATAACGAAGTACGCAATTTGTCCGAAAACATTGATAGTCACTATGAAATGATTAACTGGAATTTAGTGCAAAATCAGTCAAGAATTGCAGTGGAAGAAGAAAATAACATTTAAAAAAATGACTAGGAAATTATTCAATGCAAAAGAGAATGTATTTTTTTAGTGGAAAACGTTTCTGCCGAAAAAATGTTAACAATTAACAATTTAAAAACGGTAGTTAAATGACATTGAACATGTTTTATTTTATTATTAATGAAAATGATCCTCATTTAGGAAGAACTGTTATTGTTAAGTGATGCAATTAGAAAATGTTAGATGAAAGAGAAAAACATAATCAAAATTGAACTCTCATTATATCACTTTTCTTTGTTCGAAAACAAGCATTTCATATTCTTTACTAAGAAACGTGTACCTATTCTGGTCACAGTATCTCTTACCTTTAAAAACTAAGTTGCAAAGTACTTTTGTGGAATTCACCGTATTTGTTAATCTTATTAGTACGAATTTGTTAAAAGTTGAATACAATAATTACTTTTTCAGATTTTTAAGCGAATGGGCGTTCATAAAATTGAAATATATATTGTAGAAAATATAAAGAAACAAAGTGTATAAAAATTTAAATTCAATGTAGGCCGGCCTGGGTAATAAATTTTGCTGGTAAAAATTCAAGCGTGCAATCCATTTTATTACCATATAAACGAGTCGGTAAAATGTACATACAACACGTGTAAAAAATCATGCATGCAAAGTGGAGGCGGATGCTCATGGACCATCCGTTTTAATTTCGAAAAATGCGTATTAAATTATCTACCGAATTGCCGCTAACATTCTGTTCTGAAAATGAATTTACCGTCCGGTAAATATTGTATACGGTATTTGTTTTTTTTTCATCATTTTGTCATTTCGCATGATTCACTTTCACTCGACTAATCTTGGATTTGAACAATGTGTTTTTTATTATTGCGACATTTGTTATTTGTGTATAACCGAACATATGTTTGTTGTCCAAATATAAAAAAAATTCAGGCAATATTGGTGGTCCGAAATACATTAGAAATATTTTTTTATGTAATTGAAATTGTAGATATACTTTACCTGTTTATTTCAATCATAACTGGGTCACTTTTAGTTAAAATTTGTATAAAGTAATCGTTTTGCATTTCTTCCAACACAAATTTATAATTTCTTGCTATCAATTCTTCAGCATTGTCAGGTTCGTTGTGTGGAGGTCTCACAAAAATCGAAGACAGTTTACCCTTATACGTTACGTTGAATTCTAGACAAGCAAATAGAAATATCATCAAAATCAGGATAGTAGACCAACGGGTTTTCAAAATCTTTTTGGTGATAAATGGTTCGGTTTGATCAATTATTAATTTTATAGTAATCTAAAAGAATAAAAGAATTAATCGGATGTTGTATTCGGTTTAATTACTTACTCTCAGAGCTTTTCTGAATCCAAATTCACCACCAATCACTTGTTTGTTAATGTTGAAGAATATATTCATGCAAAATGTAAGGAAAACTGACGTGGCAAAAATTAGAAGCCACACGATCAGATCATAAGGTAAAATAAACATTTTGAATTGATTCCAAAATGGGATTCTGCATAGATACAGAAAATTGATGTCTTGAAATCTGATGTTTGTAGTGTAAGTAGCAGTGATGAAGCGTTCGTAAGTAACGGAAATTCCACCAATAGCCAAATCGGTAGTTCGATTCAACAAACTCCTCATGACCGCGTTAAAAGAATTCCTAGGATCGAGAAGGACAAAAGCGTAAGTGAAATTCAATTCCTTGCTGAGCTCATCAACTAATTTAGCTTCGGCTCCTTCGAATTCCGTGCACACGTTAAATTCCTGATCCCTGAGTTTCCGGCGTTCTGTCCTTTCGCAAAACATGTAAGGAAAGTAATCAAGAAACGAAATAATTAAGAAATATCCTCCGAAGTTATCGAACTTATAAGGCATTAAATCCACTATAGGTATCTTAGTTGAAACACTTTCCGTGTCTTCCAACAGTTTAAGTTTATTATCTTCGCAGTAATAACACTTATTATAAACTGTTACTTTCTTTGGTGAATCCATGTCTAGGACAATAACGTTTCCCACCAATTTGATGTAATTCATTTCCCAAAATTTGCGGTCGGATCGAAGGTACCGCTCCGCATCTCTGTACAGGACAAATATGATGTTGTCGTAAAGGATCACGTTACGGAATTTCAGCAGGAAATGCTGGAAAGTCCAGGGATTTCGCAAAAGGACGACGTTGATGAATTTAATGCCGGGCGGCCGCTTCAAATCAGGATAACTTGTTGTATTGGCATTG